AAGATTACAGGGAGGGGGGAGAAGAAGAGATTACAGGGACGGGGGAGAAGAAGAGGAGAACACAGGGGGGGGGAATAAGAGGAGAACACAGGGGGTGGGAGATGAGAACGTAAGGGAGGGAGAGACCACTAAAGGAGGGAGGGGGCTGTGGAGAGACCACTAGGGGAGGGGTGTGAGGAGAGGAGAGACCACTAATGGAAAGTCGGGGAGAAAAGGAGACCACTAAGGGAGGTGGGGGGGGGGAGAGGAGACCACTAAGGGACAGGGGAGATCTCTAAGGAATGGAAGGGAGAGCTCTATAGGACAGGGGGCAGGACAGGGAGCTCTTTCACACCACGCACACACACACACACACACACACACACACAATGCTTCCCATACACACAGAGAAACACAGTGTGGGTGGCTGTGGGGTTTTATTGCTTATATTCAGTATTTTAGCCTTATAAATGCAGTATTGTTATAATCCATGTGGGATTTTATTCTTATAATGCAGTATTGTTATAATCCATGTGGGATTTTATTTTTATAATGCAGTATTGTTATAATCCATGTAGGTTTTTATTCTTATAATGCAGTATTGTTATAATCCATGTGGGTTTTTATTCTTATAATGCAGTATTGTTATAATCCATGTGGGATTTTATTTTTATAATGCAGTATTGTTATAATCCTTGTGGGTTTTTATTCTTATAATGCAGTATTGTTATAATCCATGTGGGATTTTATTTTTATAATGCAGTATTGTTATAATCATTGTGGGTTTTTATTCTTATAATGCAGTATTGCTATAATCCATGTGGGATTTTATTTTTATAATGCAGTATTGTGATAATCCTTGTGGGTTTTTATTTTTATAATGCAGTATGTTATATCCTTATGGGATTTTATTCATGTAAATGCAATACTGTTTTATCCTTATGGGATTTTATTCATGTGAATGCAGTATGTTATAGTCCTTTTGGGATTTTCTTAAGTGTCTGTACTTCAGATCATCACTGTTTCTTCATCTATAGTTGTTGGCCTCTATCCCCTTGATCTTGCCTCCCTGTCCGTTTTTTCCCACTCTGTATATTTCCGTTTCTATGTGTTATCCGCCTGTGTTTTATTACTGGCGGTTGGTGTGCCGCTCGGGGTCTTCAGGAGGCTGACCAAAGCATTTGCCTCCTCCACTCCCCCGAGGCCGCGGAGTTCATCTCCGACGGTCCCGTGTGTTTTTTCCGGCCGCCGGGGTGCTTGCGGGCGAGCACGAACACCTGGCGGCCGGATCTTCTTTCCCACGTGGCTGCTTGGCTGGAGCCGTCCCCGCCCGCGGAAAACGTGGGTCCCGTGTGTTCTACCCGGTCGCAGGGGTACTCGTGAGTGAGCACGAGTACCCGGCGGCCGGATCTTTTCCTCCACGGGGCGGCTTCACTGCGGTCGCCTCCGCCCGCGGACCGCGTGAGTCCGACCAGGTGGGGGGAGGGTGCGCCCACGCGCAGCTCCTCCCCCGCCAGTACCATTCTTGGTGGAGGTCCGTTGAGGGGCTTTTCCCTCCCCCTGTATAGTCAGGGTGTAATTCAGACCCCAACCTAATTCTCTGGCGGTCTGGGAGGGCACCTCCACCCTGCTCAGGGTGAATATCTATATAGATATGTAGCGGATGGCCCTGTGCTGTCCTGAACAATTCATGTATTTCTATGCATTCGTGTGAAAATGGCAAAGTCTATGTATTTGATGTATTGGATTCATCTGAATGTTAGGTAGTTTCATTCCCTTAGTTTATTCGAATGAAACTACCGAACAGTCAGACTTCCCATGTGTGAAGTGTATTCTCAATTAACCGTTGCAACATTGTTGCGAACGGGTAATTGGCAAGTGAAGTAGCTGTCAGGTTCTTACCTGATGGGGAGTCCGGCTCGCAGAGTTATACGCTCACCCTTGCAAAGTAGACACAGACCAGGGTGACCAGGTAAGACGCCACCTGATCTGTGAGTCTGTGCATGGTGGCTTTCCAGGAATAGTGCTCCAAGTAGCAGTACAGCAGGAATTAGCAGAAGCGTAGTCAAGGAAAGCCAAAGTCAGGGGAAGCCAGATATCAGAGTAGTCCAGGAGGAAAGCCAAGGTCAGAAGCCGGAATTAGACAAGAATCACTGGAACGCAGGTACGGCGTAACAGGAACAAAACAAGGGAACCAGAGTCAATGAACTGACACTGCCCTCAGGGAGAGGCAGTGTCTTATACCTGGCTAATTGGTAATCAGCCACAGGTGTGCTGAGATCGTTGGAGCAGCCACTGAATAACGTCGAGCCCCCAGTGCTGGGTACAAGGCAAGATAGTCTTCTGGCTATCTCTAGAGCTGTTATGGTGGCTCAGAGGCAAAATAGCAGCCCCAGGACTGCAAAGTACCCTGGTTCAAGTCCGTCGCCGGGCATTTCTGGGGCGACCTTGTCTGGCCGTCGGGATGTCGCGGTGAGAACTGTGACAGTACCCTCCCTTCAAGAACGCCCTCCGGGCGTGAACAGGTTCTTCTTGGAAATAGTACTCCTGATCTTCGGTCTCAGGATCACTAAGATAGTCTTTGTAATCACAATCTCCAGAGCGGAGTCCCTTTACAGCCTGGGACTTTATGGTACCAGTTTCGGGTACTAATGGAAAGAGGTCAAGGTTATTCATGGATTTGGTAGAGGCGGTAAGTACCTTGATCCCAGGAGTCATTTTCTCTGAACTTTTTTCTTAGGGGAGTCACTATGAGCAGAGTTCACGGCTTTCAAAGCCCTTTCAAATGTTTCCAGATCTGTTCTGTGGACCTTGGTACTATAGGTGCAATCCGCAGGTAGTTCTCCTTTGGGCAGACAGGAAGTGGTGATGGTACCAGTTTTAACAGGAGAGTCTTCTGGAGGTGGTGAATTCTCATGATCACCGATTATGTGTTCTTGAGAGACACTGGCATCAGTAGCCATCGTAGTCTGGGTACTCTTCTGCGTCACGGAACGTGGAAACATCCGACAGTACCCTTGACATTTTTCTGGCTGTGTTGCCGGGATAACAGGATGAAGCTGAGTAGTACCTACTTAAAGAGGCTTAGGCTGAGTTGGGCGAATAGGGCAGTGGGAGATAAAGTGCCCATCTTCTCCACAATAGAAACAGAGACAACAAGCCGTCCTTCAGTCTCTTTCTCTAGATGGCAGTCTTGTTCTAGTGCGGATGAAGCCGATCTCCATGGGTTCCTCCTTGTCCTCTAGAGTGCCAAGTTCCACATGGGTAACATTATGATGACAAGGCAGGTCCTTGGAGGTAGGTTTAGACTGTAGCGAGATGGGATTCTTGTATTCATAAAATAATTCCTCTTCTCTAGGCAACCGGGTTCTGCGAGAACCTGAAGTAGGCTTGGGAGTTGCTTTCCTTGATGTAAAGCACTGAGAGTCCATTGCGGACATGAACAACTCCCAGGAGTCCAAGACAGTACTTCTCTCCTGCAGCTTCTGGTGTGCCCACGCCTTAATCCGCCCAGTACACAGGTTAATAGCGGAGTGGACTCTGATAAGGTCGGTGGCGTAGGTTCTAGGTTTCAGGGCAAACAGTAGCTCACAATCCTTCTTGAACATCGGGAAAGCAGAACGGGAACCATCAAACCTGTCAGGCATAATGACATAGGGTTCTGGGTATGTATGTTCCGGGATTGGATGTACTGCTCCTTTAAATGCCAATGAACATCTCTGCAAATCCATAACATTCTGGGACAGGTTGGAGACTTGTTCAGCCAGGGAGGTGAGTAATTTGTATAACTCTGCAGACTCCATATGGTCAGTTCATTATGTCAGGTTCTTACCTGATGGGGAGTCCGGCTCGCAGAGTTATACGCTCACCCTTGCAAAGTAGACACAGACCAGGGTGACCAGGTAAGACGCCACCTGATCTGTGAGTCTGTGCATGGGGGCTTTCCAGGAATAGTGCTCCAAGTAGCAGTACAGCAGGGATTAGCAGAAGCGTAGTCAAGGAAAGCCAAAGTCAGGGGAAGCCAGATATCAGAGTAGTCCAGGAGGAAAGCCAAGGTCAGAAGCCGGAATTAGACAAGAATCACTGGAACGCAGGTACGAAGTAACAGGAACCAAGCAAGGGAACCAGAGTCAATGAACTGACACTGCCCTCAGGGAGAGGCAGTGTCTTATACCTGGCTAATTGGTAATCAGCCACAGGTGTGCTGAGATCGTTGGAGCAGCCACTGAATAACGTCCAGCCCCCAGTGCTGGGTACAAGGCAAGATAGACTTCTGGCTATCTCTCGAGCTGATATGGTGGCTCAGAGGGAAAATAGCAGCCCCAGGACTGCAAAGTACCCTGGTTCAAGTCCGTCGCCGGGCACTTCTGGGGCGACCTCGCCTGGCCGTCGGGATGTCGCGGTGAGAACCGTGACAGTAGCCGTCCTTTGTTCTCGGGGGTGGCCGCCATTCGAAAAACGAACACGTGGCGGCGGCTATTTTAAAACTCCCGAACAGCAGTGTTTTGCCGTCGAGTGTCTGGAACTCAAATCGGACACTCGACTAGGCGAACACCGCTGAAACCTCCACAAGCCCGGTCCGTTCGGTTCCTAACTACCGAACGGCCCCTCGTTCGGTAGATAGAAAGAACCGAACGAGGGGATTCAGGCGAACCCTCCCTAGCCTCTATAGCTAGAGGCTTTCGTGCAGTTTGTTCCCTTACTCCAGGACCGACCGCAGGGCCCATTCGCATGGAACCGCATTCGGCTGTCTCAGTCAGTGCGGTCGGTCATTTTATTCCCTCCATAGATTTCCCGAACCCCTGGTCTGATCTGGGTGATTTTTGGATATGTTGTTCACCCAGATCAGGGCTATCAGGGGGTGTAGGATTTAAAGGGGTACCCCTACGTTTAGGGGTACATCCAGAAACGGGGGGAATTACTGTACTGGATAAGGGGATTATGATGCTGGCTGAGGGGAGGAGATGTGTGGGAGGTTACCAGGACAGGATTGGCTACTATACTAATGATTGTAAATCCCTCCCTTGCATGGGAGCATGCTTTAAAAGGACAGTGTGGATTAAAGATTTCAGTTCTGCTCCTGAAACTGGGTGTCGTCCATTTATTGGGATTGCTGTTGGGATATTGTTGTTATTTTACCTGCTGGAAACCTTGCCTGTGGATTTACTATTTACTTGTTCCTGAGCCTCACTTGGATTATAAGCGGAGATAACCTGGGGAATATTGCATCTCCGCTACAAGATATATATAGCAATTATGTGATACCAGATTATATATTATAAATATATATGTATATATATATATATATATATATATATATATTTATACAAGGGCTGGAGAACAGCCTGTAGGCAGTACATCCTGTACTACTGAGTTTCCTGCAACATGATATCATTGTTTTTGGCCACAAGCATTAAAGATCTAACAGTTTCCTGTATATCTGTAGGCACATTGCTACTCTGCCTAGGGGGTTTTGCGTATTGGAGTTATTTCACCCTAGGTTCCCATGTTTTCATTGCACATATAGGGGGCTCTAAACAGATTGACCCCCTGCTACTGTCGGAATACAACGCCAGGTCTGTGCCTATTTGATTGGCCTGCTATGTCCGTGCCCTTATGACTAGCCAGCTCTATCTGTGCCCTTTGTTTGGCCTGAGCTATCTGGGCCCGAAACCCCTTTTGGCCGCAGGCCTGGGAGGATATCACTGAGAAAAGCCCAGTACTCACTATTGGGTTTTTTATGAGGATTTCCAGGCGCACCACCACGGTTTACACCAACCCGGCGGCAGCACATCTCTAAAGAGTATTTTGCATAAGCAGGGACCAGTGCTCCGACGCCAACAAGGGAGCACGGTTGCCTTGCCTTCAACAACTAACCGTCTAGCTGCCTTTCCAGTATCCTTCTTAGGTATGCTTAGATAGTCCTACGGCTTGCTGTTGCGATGTGCTTTTTACCTTCTCTCCGAGGTACGTATTTACTGTTATCTACTTTCTTTGTCGTTTCTTGGTTTTCGAACCTTCCAATTGGCCTATCGCTTGGGTCGTCGAGAGGCCTGACTTGACCTCCTCCGACCTCCCGAGCGCTCGTGGATTGCGGAGAGCGTCTCCAGCTTTCCTCAGGCTACCGACGGTCATCCTGGACCCCGCGCGCACGCGTGCACGGGATCCGGGCGGTCAGTTGGTAGTTTCCATCATTGTTCCCGAAGGCTGCATTCTCTCACCATCCTTTTCTGTTATTAAGGATGGACACGGCCCGAGGGTGTATACTATGCCATCTTCCATCGGTCTGGTTTATTAACAGTTGATTCCATCTCAGGTGAGCGATTCAGAGAGAGATCTCGTGGTCAGAGAGAGACCCACCTCAGGATCTCAGTCTTATGCTGATATTAGTAAATGGTGTACGCCTGCAGTTGGTCACCCTAAGTCTCTAAGGGACTTTAGTTTGGATTACAAGAGGGTGCGGCCCCCATCACCTTGATCTGAGAATGATATTATATTTCCAGGAACGGAGAGCGAACCCCTCTCATATATGGAACCGGACACTGATTTGTTATTAGAGGGCGCGGCCCTCCCTCAACTGATACTGAGTTGGATACAGAGGACATGTTTTGAGTGACACATTCTCGTAGAGGGAACCGGTCATGGATGTAGACTTTGCTATTTGGCTCTTAATGGGTGCGACCCGCTCAGACTATGAGCCGGACGCTGACACGGAGTTCAGGTCACATTATTAGAGGGCGCGGCTCTCTCATACACTCAACGCACTATGGTGCTGTCCATTTGTTAATCACACAGGCTTGTACCTGTACAGGACAACGATGACTGCATAGAGGGGCATCCCTCCTGCATTCAATTAGTCTCAACGACCGTGCTACCGTTTTCGTTATAGAGGGCTGCCTGATCATGCAGGATATACATAGTTAAACTGGATCCCTCTTTTTCACCTCCTGTAATGGATCTACTGGATCCAGACCACTGTACCACACGCGAGAAATACTCACAGAGGTATATTGGGGGTGACTCCCGCTTATTTACACACACTCCTGGAGACGGTACGGCTAACAGATGAACCTCAGGTATTACAAGAGTGCAGGTTTTGGTGTATTCTGTGCTATATAAAACAGACAATTGCTTTCTGTTTTCGATATCCAGGCCATTGCGAACAAACTGCGCAGACAGTTTTTCCCATATCTAGATGACATGAGATACTGAGACCTTCATGGAGCAAACGGGCACTACCTTGCTCGGGTGACAAAACTAGGGAAGGCCCACTACACGGTCTCCAGGTACACCGTGCACATGGATCGCATGGAAAGACCGGAAACCTCAGTTGACTTGAGTTCCCTGGTCATTACAATCTTGGGATAAGATGACAGGACTACCCCTACTCCTCTGAACACATATCTGGAGCACATGGTTCGGAGATGGAGGGCCCTCCGTCTATACTCTATATCCCTCACGGGAGCCATCTTGGTTTGGGTTCTTGCTAACCCACCTTTTCAACTACCATCAAGGAGACTAGAGGTCTCACTATATTATACCCTATCGTGTAGGTGGCGTTTAGACCAGGAACCCCTACTCAAATTTTGACAGGTTGGGCATGGAACAGGATCGTACTATGGGTAATCAAATTATTTCACTCTCTCACTACAGCACGTGAGGACTCTTCGTGATTATGTAGATCCCAATCACCATTGGATCCGTGCTTCTTATCACTCTTAGATGATGACGTATCTGGAAGGGAATTTCAACTCCGGTTTCCGTTTCCCATCCCTTTGAATATTTCGGGGATTCACTATTCCCAGAATAGTCGACCACCGTTCCACCACACAAGTTCAGTTTGGGATCCTGAATGGAAGTCCTTTTGTAGTCTTTTCTCTATCGCAACTGAGGATTGCACAGTCCATTTGGAATATTGGAATCACTTAGGATACGGCTAGTTTAACCACACTCTTGCCTGCATAATAAATTTATTCTTGGATGAGACATCTCACCGGGTAGGCCAGGAGGGAACAAAAGATCCTACTCGGTTCTATTATGAAAGTGGTGGTGGACTTAGGCGCATTCCTTCAGATTGGAGATCTACCTGCAAGGCCACATCAAGAGTTGAGACATAGTGGCAGTTCCTTCTCGCTGCCCTAAGTCTGCAAATGACCTTCGACATTTTACAACTACAGGAAAATGGCTAATAGGTCAGCTTGGCAGCTCATGGACCGACTGCTAAGAAACAGGTCGCAACCCCACGTACAATGGATCTATCAGCGGATGGTGTTTTTCCATATTTGGGATGCTTCGCCAACTGGCATTTTCATCGATCCGTCTACTGTCATTTATCGCAGTTGGAAAGTCCATTTAGGATTGCTCTGATATCTCCTGGAATAGGTACCAGCGAAACAAACAGCGTTGGATTTGTTGACTGAGTGTTAAAGCAGTAATACGAAGCCTCCTGTCATGTTATAGAATTGTAGATTATGCTAGCTTTAGTGTACCTATAATCTTAATTTTATTAATGACAGGAGGCAAGTATTTCCCACCCGTTCTTATCCCTCCCTTGTTTAATTTTAATAGTTTGGATTATTGTTGTCTCTGCTACCTCTCACTTGTTTCTTATGTCTGTTTTTCATAAATAGGGTTGGGATATCTACATATTAAGGTAATTTTAGTTGCTACATTGAGTACCTACATGTTTATTCGGAGTACATTTCATTAGATAATCAACCTGTTCAAATCTGTTTTTCTTTCGTTTCAGTTTACAGTCCATCAACGCTATCTGGTGTGGCAGTTCTCCTCGGAGGATGGGCATTGTTGTTTTCATCATATCTAGGACTTAATTTCTTCCCATTGTGTTTTTCTGTTTTTGTCGCAGCTTGAAAGAGGAAATGATGCACTGGGAGGGGAGATTTATAGTACCTAACTTTTTTCTGATTGGTTGTTTTTCTGTGCTGCTGTTGAGTTCTAGTAAAGAGAGACTTAAAGGACCACTATAGTGCCAGGAAAACATACTCGTTTTCCTGGCACTATAGTGCCCTGAGGGTGCCCCCACCCTCAGGGACCCCCTCCCGCCGGGCTTGATGGAGAGGAAGGGGTTAAACTTACCTCTTTCTCCAGCGCCAGGCAGGGAGCTCTCCTCCTCCTCTCCTCCCTCTTCTTCTCCTCTTCGGCTGAATGCGCATGCGTGGCAGGAGCCGTGCACTCATTCAGCCAGTCCATAGGAAAGTATGCACAATGCTTTCCTATGGACGCTGGCGTCTTCTCACTGTGATTTTCACAGTGAGAAACGCAGAAGCCCTCTAGCGGCTGTCAAGAGACAGCCACCAGAGGCTGGATTAACCCTAACATAAACATAGCAGTTTCTCTGAAACTGCTATGTTTATAGAAAAAAGGGTCAACCCTAGATGGACCAGGCACCCAGACCACCTCATTAAGCTGAAGTGGTCTGGGTGCCTATAGTGGTCCTTTAAGCAAATACTCGCCTCCTGTCATTAATAAAATTAGATTATAGGCACACTAAAACTAGCATAATCTACAATTCTCAGATTGGGACCTTCTTTGAATGCAGCAGCTGGAGACAGATATAGCTATTAATGTGACACAGGTAGCACACACATTTCACTTGGTACATATTTATTTATGGTCACAACTTACTGATAAACATGGTCAGAAAATTAACTTTTTACAATGTAGGCAGTTTTTGGATTAGAAAAAAAAAGGTACCTTAAAACTGGTCAGCATGCTGTATGTAAAAACCAAATGTTGTACAAAATGATGGCCCTGTACCAAGCAGCACAAACAAGATTTAAATAGCTTTAAACTACCTAAAGATTTCTTCTAAATAGCATCGTTGTGAAAAATTTAAAAAAAGTCTAATTCTGGTTACTTAATAACAATATAATGTAACACCACATCCCCATCACACACACATGTATAATGTATTAAACATTTTGGTCACATGCAAAAAAAAAAAATCACACCCAAAAAATATAAACAATGCACACTGCAATAATGTAGTGCGCAAAGAAACATACTTCAAGGTCAGGGGGGAAGGTTTTTGGTAATATTATTGCTTAATATTACAGATTCTGCTAAAAGCAGGATTTCGGGTACATTCTTAAATTATAATCTAGGACAGGGTGCCCAAAAATAGATGCCCAGATGTTTTAGAACTACAACTCCCATGTGGCTTTGCATGCCTTTAAAATGCTAAAGAATGAGAAAGCTTCATGGAAGCTGTAGTTTTGAAACATCTGGGGATCTACCTTTTGGGCACCCCTGATCTAGAATAAGTAATGCCCAATCTATAAAGTCTGATATTGTTTTTAGTAGTACAAATATTTCTACGCGCACAGTTATTCTTTTTCTCATATGTCTTGTAAAATTAGGAATTGTTCTAATGAAAAGGCATACTTTCAAAACTTTGACTGCATCCAGGATTTAATTGCAATAACCGAACATAAAATTAGTTAAATAAACATTCTAAACCCCCAATCCATTACACCTTAAGGAGTAGTATTGATGTTTACACCCGGTGCTTTTTTCTCTGGCAGTGTAAAACATTTAGAGAAACAACATTTAGATTTGTCAGAGAAGAAATCTCTAGTGGACGTTAGACAGACAGTCACTAAAGGCATTTTATAATGGAGACCTTTGAAAAACCGGGGCAAAAAAGAGAAAACAGTATATAATTCGTTTGACTATATTAAAAGGAAAAAGTGTACAAAAATATTGTTTGGCCAAAACCAAGGCTCTTCTGGCATCCAAAGATAATATGACTGTTTCACTTCCTATAAATAAGTTATAGCTATAGATAAGCTCACCCAGTCACCTAGAGACATTATAAAAAGGCAGTGGACTTCCTCATTATCTGGCTAATACCTACAGGACTCTTGATACACTGGTTTTTGAATGGTCTATGCAAAATCTGCAATGCCAAGGACATGCGTGAATGGGACACAAATACCTTCTAAATAACTAATCTACAGGACTTTTATTTCCTTGTACGTTCCAGGCACAGCCTTCCTCAAAATGTCCAGAGTTTCCCACAAATCTTACCGTTGTTCCATCAGAGTTATGCAACAGAGTATAAAATGAAAAAGTATTGTGTTTCAATCCATAATTAAATATGTAGGTCAATGTGGCATGGCCCCAAAAGTGGGCAGGCAGGGTTTACATCTCCACTTCATTAAAATATACATGTTCAAAGGAACATTTCAGGGACCATAAAAACCTCATCTAAATGAAGTTGTTATGGTGCCAGGAGAGTTCTTTTAAGGCAGTGCGCTCCTGTTTAGGGTATCAGCTTATGATAAAAAAAATGTAAACAAAAATCTCAGATGCGGTGCTAACGAAGATTATTCTTTTTAGCAAAAAACAAACTGACCAAGCACAATTTCAGTGTTTGCATTCACATACATTCACATTCATAACAGAATATTTGCACTCAGTAAAGAACTTTCACATACATTTTACTGGTGACATAGTAACTTTATCCCATCACAAATCCCCATCAGTAGGTGTTAATACATTAAAATATGGGGAGATCTTTTACACTGAATATCCTATATGAAAGAAAGGCTGGTGTAAGTAATTTGCTACACCCTCCTCTGCTGTGTCTATTTCTTGAGCGTTTTCCAAGCAGGATGTACGTTCACAGTAAACAGACTCTCCACACTTGTATGTACTCACTAAACCGGGGGTTGTAGATAATTGAGAAAGAAATTGCAAAAAGCATTCCCTGACTGTTTCAGCTCAGCTATTTTGGCTCAAAATTTGCAATTCTCTGATCAGTTCTCCACAACACCAAGTTTAAAGGGTTACTTCACCATGACCACTTTTGCTTTTTGAAGTGGTCATGGTGGTAGGAGTCTGGATGTGCAGTGTTTCTGCTTGAAACTCTGCACATCAAGAGAAATTTGCTGGAGGCAAGTTGCACTCCCAGCACACAAGACTTAGGCAGGCCAAAGCTGCCCAATGTCAATTCTGTGCAAACTCCCCCCCCCCAATACAAATCATTTGTTGGCAGCGTGCAGTGCATTAAGTGCTTGTCCTTTGTAGGCAGAGCCCACAAGGAAGAAGCTCTTGTCTCCCCTCCCACCCACCCACACTGATTGTAGTCTCCCTCCCCCCAATTTCATCCCCTTTTTTAAAAAAAATGCCACACTCAATCCTCCTTCATTCCCTCCCACCGCTGGCTCAGGACGCTCTATGAGAAGCTATTCATTGGACCTAGGCGCTGCTCCCATGACGTAAGACGGAGGTGTGCCGAGCAGCACCTGGAGGTTTTTCCTAGGACTGGATTAAGATAAGTAAACTAGATTTTAAAATGCTCCTTTTTTTGTCGGGGGGACCAATTGAATAATGCCAATAGGACATTATTCTATCATAAGTTAAAAAGGGTTGGAGAAACCCTTTAATGAAACAACACAGTCAGTTATTCACAGATCTAGAAATATTTAAAATCAGCTATCCTGGTTCTGCTGCCTTGGTGTGAAATTTGAAATTCAATTTGAATTCTCACTTTAGTTAATAGCCATGCCAGTGTTCCATAACAGCATTAAGAGGACACCAGAAGCACCTCAGATGTATGCTGGTTTTGTCATTACTCAATTCTCTCTAGTTTTCAAGAAATAAAACATTTTTGCAGCATAAATGAACACAATAGACACCCAGACCATTTCATTTCAATTAAGTAGTCTGTGTGTACTGTCACAGTTCCCTTGACCCTGCAAAGTAAAATATTGCAGTTTTTGAGGAACATCAATGTTTACATTGCAGGGCTAAGTCCATCTCTAGTAGTTGTCAGTAAAACAGTCATGTAATGCAGAAGCTTCCATGCTTTCCTATGGGAAAATTTGAATGCTTGCGCATTAGATCATAGAGGAGCATGGCAAGCATTGAGTAGCATTGGATTGGAAAACGTGGGGAGGTGCCGCCGCTGAGGCAGAAATGGGAGCAGCATCGAGGGAGTCTTGGCACTGGTAAAAAGGAAGTAGTTCTTCATTTTTTGCCCAGAGTGGACTGACTACAAGTAAGGACAGAAGCACTATAGTGTGAGGAATACAGTGTTATTACTGTTCCTTAAGCCTGCATTTTTTGCCAAATTCTCTTTTCCCTCATGGTGTACCTAGACTGTCCTCTGCTTCTCAGGACGTGCTAAGCCACTGTGAGCAATGTGAGATGAGCTGCTGGAAGACAGGAAGCCTGGAGGAGGGACACAGCCAGGGACACATGTGGTGAGTATTATCACTAGATGTACAGCTGTCTGCTTGCAGATTTTATGCTATTATGCTTTGACTTGCATCTTCTATGAGTCAGTTCCAGGGACTGTCTCCTGTACAGCAGGTTCTAGTTTAGGGCTATTGGAAGCAGAGCAGTAATTGTAATAAGGTTCCAATGTAGTTTTATCCATCTCAAAAAGCATGTTATTAGAGGTCAAACTTTAAACTAGTTAACCCTTTTAGGCTCTGCAGATTAACCTTGTTTCCATTTTTGCCTCCCTGCTACATACTGCCGCAATATTATGACAATTATTGGCAACATCTCTGGAACGAGAAGAAAAATGTTGTATTTCTTTAGATATTGTTATATAGGGTCATGTTATAAAGGACCAGAATGTGCCCACTGATCTCTGGCAGGGATTCGGTTTGCAGCAGCTATTTGTGTACAAGGCAACATGCCTATCGTTGCTCCAGATCTTTAACATACTGTCTCTAGTAGTACTGAAGTAATGATTCTCATAGAGAATCATTGCTTTACTGTGATTGACTTCGGAAAGGAAACTGGTTGAGACCAGAGGAAGAAATGAGAGACCAGCAGCCTAGAAGCTGCTATTTAGAAAAAAGAAAGAGAGACAAACAAGTCTTTATGGTTAGAATTTCACAAAACTATTTATACAAGGGCGAAGTAGTAACAAATGCACATAAAGTATATGGAATGTCAGTTTTAGCACAGAGAGTTCCCTTAAATTTCAGCTATATTCCACAGAATGGCTTACCATCCTTTTTTGTAGTACAAAGTATTTTTAAACATAGCCCAACAGGGCGCATTAGGATTGACATCTATTTTAAGACCTAATTGTCACAGATTTATAAATCGCCCTCCCCACACATAAATGATATCAACTTAATGGCTGTTCTTCATGTGCATGATAAAACAATGTCCATGTATCAAACGTAGTTGGGTTTAAAATCTTAGTTCAACCAAGAAACCTCTCTTTAAGAAGGTTGAAAACCGAAAAACATAAAGAAGCAAACCAGGCATACATTTACCATATACTCTATATAAGGCACCAATGATATTCCCTAGATATTGTCTGTGACAAAATAATCATTAAATATAAAAAGATTGTAACTTTAGGCATTTACTAAACGGAGGTTATGTGACTGCTCCGGATAGAGTACGGAGTCCATATAATGATCTGTGCTATAGCAATGCAGAGAGGAACAAGGCAGGTCATGTAGAACATAGCACCGTGAAGATCTAAAAACAAACTGAATAGAAGAAAAAAAAAAAGAAATTAGGGTTATTTTGTGTAATAACTTTTCTTTTTGTGCACAAACTATAATGTTAAAACTATATCAAGTTGAAAAAAATTGTCTTATTCCTGAACCACTGTAAGAGATGTAGACTAACCTCATGTGTTAGTTTGACGAACGCCCAATTCAATCGAAAATGCCTCTATAGTTCTTCAGACTATACAGTGCACTGACCTCTTAATGACCATCTTCATAATAATCTGTTTTCCCCCCCGCCCCCACTTATAATTTATTTATATAAAACATATAACACAATATAAAAAGACATACAAGATGTCACAGTATCATGAAATATTAGTAACACAGGTCAAATAGCAATTGATGGAGAGTATAAAACATAACAATTAGTGATGTCCCGAACGGTTCGCCGAACGGTTCGCCACGGACGGCGAACATAAGCATAAACATTGACCCTGTACCTCACAGTCAGCAGACACATTCCAGCCAATCAGCAGCAGACCCTCCCTCCCAGACCCTCCCACCTCCTGGACAGCATCCATTTTACATTCATTGTGAAGCTGCATTCTTAGTGAGCTGTCCAGGAGGTGGGAGGGTATGTTCGCCGTCCGCGTGGAACCGTTCGGGACATCACTAATAACAATACCTCCTTTTACAATTTTAAAGAGTTAAGCTAAAGGAATTGTGTATGATAACCAAACATAATAGAAACCATCAAATGGGCTCAAAAGAGAAAATAAAAAGTAGACTATTTGGCGTGAGACCCAATCCAAGCTTCCTCAACCTATGCCACTCTGTGGGAAGGCAAGTACATGATGTTGCACTGGTGCTAGGGCCCAACAAGCTCTCCGAGATTAAACCACCCAAGAACTGTGGATTGTTAAGAAGTCTCCGGGTTCCAGGAGCAGCATGCACTCTATCCACTGCTCAGTCCACCCTGACTCTAAACTTGTTTTTCCTTAAATGTCCCATCTTAAGCCCCACTATCTAGTGGCGCAGTGTGCGAGACTGTCTCTGTGTAGGTGAAAGTTGCAAGAACCTGCTGCAATTCTATCAAGTTGGAACCCAGTATAGCAGTCGAGTCGTTTGCCCCTGCACTTACTCTGTGAGACAACTATATATAAAAAACAGTAAAAACATGTGCACACACTCGATTGAACTCAATGTTTGTTTGTTTTAAAGCTTGTACTGCAATTTTGATAATTTCTACATGCCCTCCAGCAGCTGACTTCTGACAAATAATAATTCCAGTTTCTGCTTGCTTTTAATTTTTTAATCTTCAGCAATGCAAGTGTTTTTATATGAAAACCATCTGTTAGTCCTGAAATCACAGCAGTACCAAAAATAATTTGCAGAGGGGCATAATCAGAAATCTGGTCAAGACCAGCACACCTTCTCTCAAGAGGCAAATAAAAATATTTATATGACTCCAATTTACAATATGAACATTTCCTCTAACCAATCACCAAATAACAACTTTGACAAAGATTCAAAAAGGGTGAAAAAATATTTTTCTTCATCGATGGCTAAGTAAAGGAATCTTCATAACAAATTGTAATCACTGAATAATTGCTAAAGTAAAAAACTTGGATCAAGTCTTATCAACGGAGTTTCCTTCTTGGAAACGTTTATTGAGCAGACTATGACTATATCCTGTACGAATACATTCTCTTTAATTAGACATATTGCCTAATTTCACACATATGTCTGTTGTTGATTCATAAGAAGGTGAAACACCCAGTTTCAAGCTATTTATAATTTTGTAACTATATGTGGACAAAAAGTCTCTTTCAAAAGCAAAACAGCAGTCCACTTTCTCCTGGAGGGAGCAGCTACTCTATATTATTATTATTATTATTATTATACCAGCTAACAACTATGATATCTGCTGTCCTCATACACAGATCATAGTTATTCTGTAAACAATATTTCAATTAAAAATTATATTTACCTGTGAGATACGTATTGGTTTAGACACATTATCTAGTAAACAATCAGTATTACACATCATGAGTATTAGTATTCTGAACATGAATAAACAGGAAAACATAATTATATGCAATTTACAGGCCAGACAGCACATTTAAAAAATATATATTTAAAAACAGACTAAATACTCAGAAAAGCCCAGGATCTGTCATTAACCTGTCTATTGGAACACGTTCAGCTCATTGTATAAATAATATGTTCTTAAAGTCAAGAATGTGTGAGTATGTAAATATTTATCTGCCTGGTTGTGTGTAGCCTGCATGACTCTGTTATTTACTTAGTTAACCAATAAATGATTGAGGCACTCGAATGTAGTTCGAAGAAGATTTAACCCCTTAAGGACGGAGCCAAATGTACACGTTGTGAACCAAAAAAATGTAAACAAAACCTGGCATTTGCGCTACATGTCTGTCCAACCGTAATTCACCTCTTTCATAGTAAATGCACCCACCCTTATTATATATCATTTTATTCAGGGGAAACAGGGCTTTCATTTAATATCAAATATTTAGCTATGAAACATAAATTAATATGAAAAAAATGGGAGAAAATACGATTTTTAAAAAATGTTTTTGTTCTACATGACATTTTAACGGTCAATGTCATAATACTGTTTGCTTTTACTGCAATAAAATACACATATTTGTATTCAGCAAAGTCTCACGTGTAAGACAGTACCCCCTATGTACAGGTTTTATGGCGTTTTGGGAAGTTACAGCGTCAAATATAGCACGTTACATTTGAAATTGAAATTCGCCAGATAGGTTATGTTGCTTTTGAGACTGTATAGTAGACCAGGAATTAAATTTACACCCATAATAGCATACCATTTGCAATAGTAGACAACCCAAGGTATTGCAAATGGGGTATGTCCAGTCTTTTTTAGTAGCCATTTGGTCACAAACACTGGCCAAAGTTAGCGCTAGTATTTGTTTGTGTGTGAAAAATGCAAAAAACGCCAATTTTGGCCAGTGTTTGTGACTAAGTGGCTACTAAAAAAGACTGGACATACCCTGTTTGCAATACCTTGGGTTGTCTACTATTGCAAATGGTATGCCATCATAGGGGTAATTTTCAATCTTGGGCTACCATAGGGTCTCAAAGGCAACCTAACCAATCTGCCAAATTTTAATGTGAAAAAAATGAAACGCAAGCCTTATATTTGACGCTGTAACTTTTGAAAACACCATAAAACCTGTACATGAGGGGTACTGTTGTACTCGGGAGACTTCGCTGAACACAAATATTTGTGTTTCAAAACAGTAAAAAGTATCACAGCAATAATATCGTCCGTGTAAGTGCTGTTTGTGTGTAAAAAAAAAAATACAAAAAACGTCAGTTTTACTGGCGATATCATAGTTGTAATACATTTTACTGTTTTGAAACACTGATATTTGTGTTCAGCGAAGTCTCCCGAGTAGAACAGTACCCCCCATGTACAGGTTTTATGGTGTCTTGGAAAGTTATAGGGTTAAATATAGTGCTAGCAAATTAAATTCCCTTTACTTTCGGCATGGGTTGTCAGGCAGGTCCTGCTAATTGTAATTAATTAAGATACCTAATTACGTAAAAATATTACATAAATATATATGTAGAATTAATATATGTATATATATACGTATGTGTATATATATGTATATATCTATATAATTTTTTAAAAATATTTTTATTTATATATAGCTATATATATAGTGATATATACGTATATATTTATGTATATAGATATATATATTATTTCGTTCTACGTGTATTTTGATATATATATATATATTAATTTCACAATACAGTTAGAACGAAATAACACACATCTATATATTTTTTAATTATTTCTTTTTAATTATTTTTTAATTTTATTTTTTAACGTATTTACATATTTAATTTTTTTATATTATATATAAATATATATATGACAATAATTATATATATATTTAATCAGTATCAGTCTACGTGTAATTTGATATTAATATATATATATAATTATATATATATTAATAGTAAAATACACCTAGACGGTGTATGTGTGTGTATGTATATGTGTATATATATACTTAGATCATATATATATATAATATATATATATGATCTAAGTATATATATATTTTTTTTTACACCAATAAATTTAATTTTAATTTTATTTTCAGCCAGCAGGGGGACCACCTGTCATTACAGGCAGCCCCCCTGCTGGCAATGCAGGAGGCAGCCTACCCGGCCATGTGATTGTGGGGTCCTCGCTAGGACCCCACTCTCACATGGCCGGGGAGCACCGGAGGAGAAGGATCTACCGCGGGGGGGCTCCCTGGGAGTCCCCCCTACCGCGATCGCCGGCATGGGACCGCTGGCGACCGGGTAAGTTAACAAAAACCGGAGGGCGTACAATTACGCCCGGCGGCGTTTAGAGCCGCCTAAAATAGGGCGTAATTGTACGTCCTCCGGTCAGAAGGGGTTAAGGAAGATCAATGTAACAAATACGGAAGCAACGTTTAAAAAAAAAAAAAAAATAAAGTTGTTTTCCTGACTCTACAGCTTCCTATAGGGCCCCCTTCCCTCACATGTCCATCACCGCTGATGTTACTCTGTGCTGGTTCAGGCTCCGCCTCCACTCCTGACGTTGGCGGTGGGGACCTAATGCGCATGCCGCGCTTGCATTAGGACTTCAGGTGATGCTGGGTGCGCTCAGGTATAGCGTGAGGATGTCCAGAGTCAGTTAGGTAACCAAAAGTCGCCTAACCACCTGGAAGTCCATCTCGTGGCTGTCTGGTAGACAGCCACTAGAGGTGCAATTAACCCTGGCAGGATATTATTGCAGTTTTGGATAAACATGCATTACCATTGCAGGGCTAAGATACCAGGGACACTGCACCCAGACCACTTCAATGAGCTGAAGTTGTCTGGGTGCCTGTAGTGTCCCTTTAACCCCTTAAGGACACATGACATGTCTGACATGTCATGATTCCCTTTTATTCCAGAAGTTTGGTCCTTAAGGGATTAAATCTGCCTTTTACTGCCTTGAGTGCCTGGATCTATTTTTGGTTAACTACTTATACATTGGGATTTGCAATCCCCAGATCTGGATCTGCACCCTGGACTAGTATTGAAGAAGAGTGCGCTTACCTCTTATTTCCCATGCAATATTGTGTTATTTATTTATACATAGGATTATATTTGCTCTCACCTAGGATCTGGTTGATCAATCTTGCTGGTTAAATGCTCATAACCATACTTGTTGAGTATGGCAACTACCAACATTGGCGCCAGGGATTGAGCAGGCTTGGTGAAGAGGGCATTTGTCCCAAAAACCATTGAGGAAATAGGAGATCTGCACAATACAAGATAGACATTAAAACATTAACAATGAAAACATGTTAAGTTAACCTTCAATGCAAGTCCTGAGAGGTTATTTTAATATAATACACAAAGGCAAGTCATTCACTGTACCACGCAGAATTTGGGAATACAACACTGCATCACCATGTGATCCTGCTGCAACGTAGCATGCATCAGTAACTAACCTCCTCGAATTCATTCAGTCTGTCTGCATAAAGAAAGATCTAATGGTAAAATGTGGCTTATATGATTAGTCACAAGCACAGGCCCTTGGGAGGGGGAGGACCCTGGGAGGGGGCACTGAGTGGTGGGAACAGGGGACAAAGGGATTGGGGATCCAGTTCTGTTGTGCGACCCCTGGGAGGGGGAGAACCCGGGGAGGGGACATTGTCATTGTGTGTGTTCCACCCCTTGCATGGGGAAAGTATAAAGCAGAGTGTGGCCAATTAAGTTGTTGTTGTACCCCTGGAACTGTGTGTCGTCGGGTTACTGGGGGGAAATGGGTCTCTTCGTTATGCATTAGCTGAGGTAACCAGTCAGGATACGCTCGGCCCGCTACAACACCTTGTTATCATTAGAGCAAAAATGTGTATTTTAAACCTCTTAAATTAGTATTTTTTAAAGGAACACTCTGGGCACCATAACACCAATGGAATAAAGTTAATTCTGATTAAGTTGTTATGGTGCCTGGTGTTCATTTAAATAAAGTGTAGATGTGATGTGATACCCACACCAATGCGAGTATGCCAGATACCAACAGACCCCACCTGGTCCCCCATTACTCCAGTCATTCTCATTTTTTAATTTACAGGGGAGGGCCGTTGGAGGGTAATTTTTCTCAAAAAAAATGTAATTGAAAGAATGATATTTCTAGGGATGATACTGATTAATAAGTCTCATTGATCATTGTGCATTGTGGGTAGCTTATGTTATGGTTTCTAGTAAATAACTAAATATTACCTTCACTGAGTTGTTAAATGTGGAATTGAATGCTGCAGCTGGAAAATGTCCCAACACAATATTTTCCAACTAGTAAAACCAGGTCGTTTGAATTGGAGATAATGTAGCGATAACAAATGGACCCTGTACCCAAAACATCCATGCTGTCAAAAACACATTTCGATGTTTTTTTTCAAAGAAAAAAAACTACAGAATTCCCCAGGACACACAAACCCCAGTAACAGGCTTACACACTAAACACCGAACAATTCTGTAACATTAATTTGGATGAGTTCGGAAAATCTGTGCTTTCTGTATCGAAAACAAATTTACAGGACCGGAATCGGAGATTCATCAACAACCGCATGGCGGTCAATGTTAAACCGAATGCACCTGGCAGGATAAGTGTTCGCAAACTATCATTCACTTGCTTTTTGCAAGTGAATCGAACCTTTTGAAGAACTATTTGCTTGCTGCCAGCACTAGCAGCCAGTAGGCAAAAAGTGAAACACGTTCGGCAGCGCAAGGGTTAAGTAGGTGGCGGCTGGCCTGCGCTTGCTAGTCAGCCAACACATGGAAATAGTTAAAATATATAAAAATCCTATTGGGGTCAATAAGGCCCTTCATATGCATGACTACTAAACATGTAAAACATTGCCATTCCCATGTGATGTGGCCTATAAAAAAAAAAAATAACAGGGGGGGTCATCAGGTGGGAGATATGTTAAATTGTACTGTCCCGTCCCCTGGCCCTCACCAATGCCAGGGGGTGGAGGCCCTAATATGTATGTAAAAGGAGGAGAGACCAAGTGCCGCTGCCTGGGCCCCCAGCCATTGTCGGCTGATGGAGGTGCTTATAGTTAAAAAAAAAAAAAAAGGGGTGAGGGAACTTAATTTAATATAAAGCCAAATGCTCCTAAGTAAAATAAAAAAGGCACGATCTTAAAAAAAATAAAAAAATTGAAAAACTCTGCAAAAATAGAAACCCCAAAATAATCCATCTTAATCCATGAAGGGTTTACTGCAGAATGAGTGCTCCTAGCAGGGGAAGCCCTCTTCAAGGCTTCCCACACTATGACAGGTTGTGCAAAGAGTGTTCCCCCCTCACCCTGTTATTTCACAATCCCCATCCCTATCCCCATCCCCATGAAATGGGGCCTTTTCGAACGGCTGGGTAGCCAGTTTCAGCCATGTTTAGTATATATGCCCCAACCTGCTGGATGACATGTGAGGGCATATGGAGGTACGTTACCTCCATTATAGTAATATGGGGGTCTTATTGACCCCAACAGTATTTCTCTTTATTTATTTTTAACTATATCCATCTAAACAACTCTTGCACTGCAGACGGTTTTTAAATACTGTATTTACTCGAATCTAATGCGTACTTTTTGGGAAAATAACTTTTCCAAAACTTTGAATGTGCATTAGATTAGATGGCACATTACATTCGGGGAAAAATTCTGTTGAATTTCATTCCGGAGAATTCACACAGGCGAATTAGAATTGGCGAATTCACACAGGCAAATTTTGTTCCTGAAAGAGGGCTTAAAGGACCACTCTAGGCACCCAGACCACTTCAGCTTAATGAGGTGGTCTGGGTGCCAGGTCCAGCTAGGGTTAACCCATTTTTTCATAAACATAGCAGTTTCAGAGAAACTGCTATGTTTATGAATGGGTTAAGCCTTCCCCTATTTTCTCTAGTGGCTGTCTCATTGACAGCCACTAGAGGCGCTTGCGTGCTTCTCACTGTGATTTTCACGGTGAGAGCACGCCAGCGTCCATAGGAAAGCATTATGAATGCTTTCCTATGTGACCGACGCGAATAGCATTCAGCCGTGACAGGGAGGAGAAGAGGAGGATGGGAGGAGGAGAGCTCTCCGCCCAGCACTGGAAAAAGGTAATTTAACCCCTTTTCCCTTTTCCAGGGCCGGGCAGGAGGGGTCCCTGAGGGTGGGGGCACCCTCAGGGCACTATAGTGCAGGAAAGCAGTATGTTTTTCCTGGCACTATAGTCCTTTAGAAAAGAATAGATTTAAGGACCACTCCTAGGCACCCAGACCTTCAACAATAGAGTGGTCACAGGTGCAGTCTCTAAGGAGTTAACATTTTTAAATAAACATAGCAGTTTCAGAGAAACTGCTATGTTTTATCAATAGGTTAACCTTCTCCCAAAACCTCTAGTGGCTGTCATTGTGGCCACTATTTTGCCTCTTGATGCTCCTCACTGTAATTTTCACAGTGAGCGCTCAGCGTCTATAGGAAAGCATTGATAATGCTTTCTATCGCGACCCGGCTGAATCACGTAGCGCCTTTCTTGCCGCGCGTGCGCATTCAGCCGACGGGGCGGAACGGAGGAGGAGAGAAGGAGGAGAGCTCTCCGCCCAGCGCTGGAAAAAGGTACGTTTTTACCCCTTTCCCCCTTCCAGAGCCGGGCGGGAGGGGGTCCCTGAGGGTCCTTTAACATGTAACACTAAAGTGGTCCTTTAACATGTAACACTAAAATTAAAATACCATCAATGTTACTGTGGTATATGGCAATAGACAAACATTTTCATTGTAGCACAATATTGTATAGTAGTATCTTCTAGTATAAATGCGCATTACATTCGCCAGCAAAAACATTTTTCAGCTTCCAGGTTTCAAAAATTAAGGTGCGCATTAGATTTGATGGCGCCTTAGTAACTGCCCATTGGCTGTTGGCAGTGGGCAAATCGGTCGGCGTTTTTTTTTTTTTTTTTAAATCAAGGCTCGGAGTTAAATTCTCAGAGTTTGGATTTGCTACATTCAACCTGGATTTCAGCCATCCTGCTGAAATACAGACCAAAATTCAGGCCCGTTTGGGACCGTTGTTACAAAATCTTGACTTTGATGAATTCCTTCAATAATATCAGGATCTTGAAGTCCGAATGGCCATGTATGCAGCTGGATGCTTTTGCCGCATTCAGTTTGGGACCATTTGGACTTTAGTGAATAATCCTGTAAATGTGGTCCATGAAGCCACGAGTCTCTTAGAACCGTCTACAGACCCTCGCTAGAAAGAGATACTCCAATCGGGTTTATTCTGGCCTATGAGGTTTATTCATATTCCATGAACTTCTGTCCAGCAAAGGCTTATGGGGTAAGTAGTTTATTACCAAAGAGCAGTTCCACTGATCAAACAGGATGAGTGGAACGGTTCTGTATAAATAACCAATAGCAGCTGCTGCCAGTTCATATAGCTTGGTTCAATGTTTACCGACTGGTTTGGTTCAGTAATGTGTGGTGTGCGGCTTGGGTCTTTCATCTGGGAGGAGCGAGAATTCAGTCCAGGTTATGCAATGTTATGATGGTGCTTAGGATGCCCCTTTAAAAGGTATTTGTAAAACATGTACTTGCTGCATGGCAAAGTAAAGAGTAAAGATCCAAGTAAAGTAAAGATCCAGTACATAGTTGTTTCATAGTGTATACAACGAGTAGTCAGTGGGTTACAGGATAATATAATCGTACTCTAAAGTTGTACAGTAACATCATCTGCTTCCGTGTACTATGGAACATTTCGCCGTAGCTGGTTTGCAGTGTTCCCTTCAATAAGGTTGATATTACAATTCAAATAAACTTAACAAAGGTATATACTCAAACAAATATGCAGGCAAATCAGAATAATTTGGATCTAGCATTTTCTGCGTACTTTGGCCATGTCAGCTCACATAAGTCAACGTCCATGTTTCCATGGGCTGCTCCTGACTCCTCTGGGTCCCCTCCACCCCTCTCACCCTCCTTGGTGTTTCTGTCCCTCATACCATGTCTCCCAGACCCTCCAAATGTCTCGGAACCTTTCCGTGGCCTTGGCAGTGTCAGTGGACATTTTCTCATATATATAGAATTGTTGTATTTTGTCTGCCAATTGGTGGATGGCTGGGCAGCTAGGTGTTTTCCAGTTTAGTGCTATCAGGTTTCTAGTAGCCATTAAAACTATCCCTATCAATTGTACGTGGTTTTGTTGTGTCGTTTTGGGGAACAGCAAGAGTAGGCAGGTCGTTATGTTCATGGGGAAGTCCCTAATGCCGAGATCCTTCAGTAGGATCTGAACATCTCCCCAGAGAGGTTGTATCCCACCACATTTCCACCATATGTGTGGCAGAGTTCCCTCTTCCACACCGCATCTCCAACACTTGGTGGATACGTCTGGGTACATTCTGTGTAGTCTGATGGGTGTCATGTACCACCTATAGAGTAGTTTGCGATGCGCTTCAATATGTGAGTAGCACTTGGTCCACTTTTTGATCCCATTTAGGGCCAGCATCCACCTTTCATCTGTCATGACTGTCCCCCTCTCCGTCTCCCAGTGCTGTTTACATGTCATCGGCTTTTGTGGTGCTAGGTCTAGCCATGCTTTATAGCAAAGTGAGAGGGCTTTGGGTTTCATCGGGGCTGTCCAGCATCTGTGGGGTATTAGTCTCGCTGCTACCGCAGATGTAGGCACAGTGTGTGGTGTGCCCTTGACGTGTGTGTTTATTGTGTTTTTTAGTTGTAAGTAGGGGAAGATATCTCTCTCCGGGACTTTCCACCTGTCTCTGATGTCTGGGAAACTCATGATTGTTTGGTCTGTACACAGTTGTTGGATTTGGGATATACCTAAGCGTGACCATCTGGTTAGTGGGATCGTAGGATTCACTGCATGTAGTGCAGTGAGGGGAGCTTCAGGGTGGAAGTGTTTCCTCCAGCCAAGGGAGGACATAAAGTCGTCCCACACTCTGACCGTTGCGGTTGTGGTGGGGTATAGAGTTACTTTAGGGCCTCTTAGTGTTCTCGGCGTCCATAGGTAATTAAGCAGTGAGGTGTGCTTAAGTTGGCCTTGTTCCATATCCACCCACTGTGTTACCCCCTGTTGGGCGTGTAGGTGTATACTCGTTGCTAGGATATAGGCTTTGTAGTAGAGTCCAATGTTGGGCATGCCTATACCCCCCGTTTGTGTCGTCGGTTGTAGGAGACCTAGGGGCAGCCTGGGTTTCTTACCCCCCCAGATGAAGGAGTTGCATATGGCTTGTAACGATTTGTGAATTGCGGCTTGGATGTCTATCGTGAGCATGCGGAATATATACAGTAACCTTGGCAATAGCATCATCTTATATGCATTCACCCGGCCTAACCAGGACAGTTTTGCATTCTTCCATTTATGTATCTCTGTGGTGCATAGATGTATGAGGGGCTTGTAATTGAGCTTTACTATGTTGCTAATAGGAGCGGCGATCTTAACCCCTAAGTACGTTATAGACGTTGTTCGCCAGTCGAGTTCAAAGGAGTTTTTAAGGGTGGTTACAGTGGGCCCTGGTAGGTTTATCGGTAGGGCTTGTGTTTTTTCCTTATTCAGACGGTAGTATGATATTCTACCATAGTCTGTCAGTAAAGTTAGTAGAGGGGGCAGCGATTGTTCTGGATTTGAAAGTGCCACGAAAATATCGTCCGCAAACATCGCCAGACAATAGTCCTTGTCCCCCAGTGTAATACCGGTTATGGCCTGGTGTCGTCTTATCTTCCAAGCCAAGGGTTCTAGGGAGAGTATGTATAACAGGGGGGATAGTGGACATCCCTGGCGTGTCCCATTCGTAATGTGAAAAGTTCGCGACAGGAAGCCTCCATGGGAGACCCTAGCACTGGGTCGTGCGTACAGAGCCAAGATTCCCCTGATAACCTCTTCAGGGAACTGATACTTGCACAGCACTTGTGTCATATATTGCCAGTTAAGTCTGTCGAAGGCCTTTTCGGCGTCCAGCGCCAGGAAAAGACTTCCGATTTGTTCCCTCTCCATCACCGCTATTATGTTTAGCACTTTCCTCGAGTTATCAGAGCCTTGTCGGCCCCTCACAAATCCGGACTGGTCATTGTGTACTAATTTATGTAGCAACGGTGCCAATCTTTCGCTGAATAGTTTTGCATAGATTTTGGCATCGCTATTTAACAATGAAATGGGCCTGAAGTTTTTACATTGATCTGTATTTTTGCCCAGTTTGGGAAGTGTGGAGACATGTACCATTGTGACCTCTTCTGGCAATGCCCCTTCTGTCATGCAGTGGTTAAACAGAGCACCGAGAGGTTGCGCTAGGGTGTTAAGGAAGGTGCGGTAATATTTATTAGGCAGGCCATCAGGTCCCGGTGATTTGTGTAGTGGGAGCGCGGAGATCACCAAGGCGATCTCCTCGGTCGTGAAGGGTTTGTTAAGCTGTTCCGCCTCTGTCTTAGATAGGGTAGGGAGGTCGATTCCTGCTAGGAAGGTGTCAATATCTGCTTTGGAGGGGCAGACTGTCTGTGGGTCATCTTTTAGATTATATAGTTTTTCATAATAATGGGCAAATTCGTCCACTATCCCCTGTGGGTTTAGAATTGTGGTGCCCTTGGAACTCTTGATGGAGGCAATCTTGGAGTTAGCCATCCTCTGTTTCAATTGGGCAGCCAGCCGCGCTCCCGCTTTGTTTCCTGTAGCAAAAAAGCCGTGTTTAAACCTGCGCATGAGGGATGTGGTTTTGGCCAGTTCCAAGTCTCTCAGCTGCGATTGTAAGAGCAATAATTTAGTATGTGTGGCTGCCGTGGGGGTGTGTTTGTTAGTGTGAGTTAGAGAGGTTAATTCGGAAAGTATGGCTGTGTATGATTCTAGTCGCTTTTTTTTTGCGTAGCTGGCGTGCTTGATGAAGCAACCTCTTATGAAGGCTTTGTGCGCCATCCATATTTGGGGTAGAGGTGAGTCTGGGGTCTTGTTTTCTTTAAAATAAAACTGTAGATCTTGTTCTATTTGGGTAACTATGGCAGGGTCGGAAAGCAATTGTTCATTGAGTCTCCAACTGCTTCTTCCTGAGTTGGGGAATTGTTCCTTGAGTTGTAGTGTGATAGGGGCATGGTCTGACCACGTGATAAGACCTATGTCTGTGCGCTCAACCTTTATGATGGAGGAGGTGCGGATCAAAAACCTATCTATTCTCGAATAAGTGTTATGCGCTGCTGTGTGGCATGTGTAGTCCCTCTCTGTGGGATGGGTTACTCGCCACCGGTCTACAAGATTGTGCGGTGTTAGTTTGTTGCATATTAGTGTGGTTAGTTTGGACCTGCTCTTTAGTGATTGTGCGGTCAAGTGGGGACCTCCTGATGAGTCTAGGTTACTGTCTAGTAAGAAATTCGTGTCACCCCCAATGATCACTTCCCCAAGTGCGTGGGCAGACATCAAACCAAGCAGTACATCAACAAAGTTACATTGGTTAACATTAGGTCCATATACATTAATTAAGGTATAGACATTATTATTTAGGGAGCATTGCAATATAAGGTACCTTCCCTTTTTATCTCCTATTTTGCGTATTAAGGAGAAAGCTACATCTCTGCTAATAAGGATGGACACTCCTCTTTTTTTTGCGGAATAACATGAGTGGTAATCTATGGGATACTGTGGGGAATTAAACTTCGGTCTGTTACCCCATTGGAAGTGCGTTTCTTGGAAGAGCATTACGTGGGCACCTAATGATTTTGCTTCGCGCAAGGCTAGGCGGCGCTTGTGGGGGGAATTCAACCCTTTAGTATTTAGGGAGCATATTTTAAGTACCATCTGTCATGTGGTATAGTCTGTGGCTACTCGGGGGTAGACAGGGTGCTCCTCCAACATTAGGTTCCCCAATGGGAGGTAGTTGTATAGCTAACATGGTGGTGCTAGATGGTGATAAGGATGCAGGACATACCATCTGTGGGGTTTGCCTTATAAAAAAAAGAAAGGATAAAACAATATAATAACTAAACCAATAGTCAACTATGTACAATGCTCCGTTCACTGCGCCTCTGCGGTGCAGTGTCAAACTTAACGGATTCTCTTGTGGCTCTGAGTCGGTAGCCACATTGGGGGCGGTTATTGAAATCGGTAGCAAGGATTTAACAGCAAAAATTATCATAGCAATTCTGGATGGCCTTAGTGACGCCCTCCCTGGGTGTAGGTAGGCTTCTAGCCCGGCATGATAATTTGCAAGAAAGGAGCATGTACGAATATAGTCTTTGTATACGACCTGTCCCGTATGAGCACCGTGTGGTCAGCACACGATTGGGAGATCTGGTCACGCTAGACTTGTCTTTGTGTGGTCTTGGGACGTGGTTGTTTCTTCCATTCATTGTGGAGTTTGATTGCAGATCTGTCCTCTGTAGCTAGTAAGGGGTCATTTGGTATCGGAATGTTCCACTCCAGCAGTTGTCTTTTGCCGGATTCAGGATCTAGAATCGGGTTGTCTACGCCGTTGCGTTTTACTAGTAACTTGGTCGGGAAGCCCCACTTATACTGTACATCTGCCGCTCTCAATGCCGCTGTGATGTGGGTAAACGAGCGCCTTTTTATCATGGTCGCAGTGGAAAGGTCAATGAATAGCTTGATTTGGGAAAATTGACCTGGGAGCTGACCTTGGCGTCTAGACGCTTGCATTATGCGATCTTTCGTTGTGAAATAGTGTATTCGCGTTATGACGTCTCTTGGCACTGTAGTCGGTAAGTGCTTGGGTTTTGGGAGGCGGTGTGTTCGGTCTAGCAGCAACTCAGTTTCCTTCAATGCTGGAACGTATGCTTTAAATATTTCTTGTACATATTGGGTCAGATCTAGGGAGCCGATTGACTCCGGTATTCCCCGGATTCTAATATTGTTGCGGCGGTCCCGGTCTTCGTGGTCTGCCACTTTTGCTTCCAGGCTTTGCACTCTCTGCATTAGGGCATTGTGTGCCTCTGATAGGCTATTATGAGCCTCTATAGTTTCCTCTGCCCTCTCTTCCAGACGTGCTGTTCGTTCACCTAAAGCTTGAATGTCAGCGCTGATATCTGTGGCAATTTGTTTTAAGTCTGTTTTGAAAGTATGTTTTAATTCAGATAGCATGTTATGCAATGAAGCGTTTGTGGCTGGTGCTTGCATGTCATCTGCAGTGAGGGTAAACTCACCTCTTTCTGAGCATGAGGCTGGGGACTGGGGCTGGTCGGCGCCATTTTGTTCCTCCGTTCCGCACTTCGGCGACGATATCACCTGCATTTGGAGGGTCTTTTGTTTAAATTTTTGTGGACATTATGTGGTGGAGGTATGCCCACTTGTTTGTCACTCTTGCCGGTGCTTGCTCGCTGTGTATTCACACTGTGTACACTCGTCGGCGGGAGAGCTCCGAGATCAGGCGACCGCTCTCATTCGCCGCTAAGCCACGCCCCTAAGATTTTATTTTTATTCAAGTAGAACAATGTAAATGTGTGGGACCTCTGCGGAATATAATGTACTTAATCAGCAGAGGAGAGAAATACCTTGCTGACAAGCGAGTTCTCAAGGTCAATTATATCCATAATGTCATAACCCGGTTTTACAAGCTAAAAATATTGCAGCATAAACAGGAAATGCAAGTTCTTCAAATTAAAATAGCGAACTGCAGTGCTACAGATAATCTAAAAGTGTACATCTTGTGAAATGCATATAGCTAGGCACCCACACATATTATTTACACTGAGTAGGCGCCCAAGGGAAACAGTTAATTATGTTTGATGTTTTTTATCTTTAATACTAATAATTATATTAGTTAGTTTATATTAGTTTGACTTTTTTAACCCAATCTTTTTGTCCTTTCTTCCCCAATTATTTTTTTTCTAATTTAATTGACAGTCAAATACAGCATCACACATTGCACAACAACTCCATAAATGACAAAAGTAGTTTTTGTGAAAATTCATTTGAAGACCAGGTGGGGTAATATCTGGATGGTATGAGTATACCAGGCTGGGTAATATCTAAATGGTGTGTGGTGATCAGGCTGGGTAATATGTGGATGGTGTGTGTGGTGACCAGGCTGGGTAATATCTGGATGGTGTGTGTGGTGACCAGGCTTGGTAATATCTGGATGGTGTGTGTGGTGACCAGGCTGGTTAATATCTGGATGGTGTGTGTGGTGACCAGGCTGGGTAATATCTGGATGGTGTGTGTGGTGACCAGGCTGGGTAATATCTGGATGGTGTGTGTGGTGACCAGGCTGGTAATATCTGGATGGTGTGTGTGGTGACCAGGCTGGGTAATATCTGGATGGTGTGTGTGGTGACCAGGCTGGGTAATATCTGGATGGTGTGTGTGGTGACCAGGCTGGGTAATATCTAAATGGTGTGTGTGATGACCAGGCTGGGTAATATCTGGATGGTGTGTGTGATGACCAGGCTGGGTAATATCTGGATGGTGTGTGTGGTGACCAGGCTTGGTAATATCTGGATGGTGTGTGGTGATCAGGCTGGGTAATATCTAAATGGTGTGTGGTGATCAGGCTGGGTAATATCTGGATGGTGTGTGTGATGACCAGGCTGGGTAATATCTGGATGGTGTGTGTGGTGATCATGCTGGGTAATATCTAAATGGTGTGTGGTGATCAGGCTGGGTAATATCTAAATGGTGTGTGTGATGACCAGGCTGGGTAATATCTGGATGGTGTGTGTGGTGACCAGGCGGGGTAATATCTGGATGGTGTGTGTGATGACCAGGCTGGGTAATATCTGGATGGTGTGTGTGGTGACCAGGCTGGGTAATATCTGGATGGTGTGTGGTGATCAGGCTGGGTAATATCTAAATGGTGTGTGGTGATCAGGCTGGGAAATATCTGGATGGTGTGTGTGGTGACCAGGCGGGGTAATATCTGGATGGTATGAGTATACCAGGCTGGGTAATATCTGGATGGTTGGAGGTGACCAGGCTGGGTAATATCTGAATGGTGTGGTGACAAGGCTGGGTAATATCTAAATGGTGTGTGGTGATCAGGCTGGGTAATATCTGGCTGGTGTGTGTGGTGACCAGGCTGGGTAATATCTGGATGGTGTGTGTGATGACCAGGCTGGGTAATATCTGGATGGTGTGTGTGGTGACCAGGCTGGGTAATATCTGGATGGTGTGTGGTGATCAGGCTGTGTAATATCTGGATGGTGTGAGTATACCAGGCTGGGTGATATCTGGATGGTGTGTGGTGATCATGCTGGGTAATATCTAAATGGTGTGTGGTGACCAGGCTGGGTAATATCTGGATGGGTAATATCTGGATGGTGTGTGGTGATCAGGCTGTGTAATATCTGGATGGTGTGAGTATACCAGGCTGGGTGATATCTGGATGGTGTGTGGTGATCATGCTGGGTAATATCTAAATGGTGTGTGGTGACCAGGCTGGGTAATATCTGGATGGTGTGTGTGGTGACCAGGCGGGGTAATATCTGGATGGTGTGTGGTGACCAGGCTGGGTAATATCTGGATGGTGTGTGTGGTGACCAGGCTGGGTAATATCTGGATGGTGTGTGGTGATCAGGCTGGGTAATATCTGGATGGTGTGTGGTGACCAGGCTGGGTAATATCTGGATGGTGTGAGGATACCAGGCTGGGTGATATCTGGATGGTGTGTGGTGACCAGGCTTGGTAATATCTGGATGGTGTGTGGTGATCAGGCTGGGTAATATCTACATGGTGTGTGGTGATCAGGCTGGGTAATATCTGGATGGTGTGTGGTGACCAGGCTGGGTAATATCTGGATGGTGTGTGGTGATCAGGCTGGGTAATATCTACATGGTGTGTGGTGATCAGGCTGGGTAATATCTGGATGGTGTGTGGTGACCAGGCTGGGTAATATCTGGATGGTGTGTGGTGATCAGGCTGGGTAATATCTGGATGGTGTGAGTTTACCAGGCTGGTTGATATCTGGATGGTGTGTGGTGACCAGGCTGGGTAATATCTAAATGGTGTCTGGTGACCAGGCTGGGTAATATCTGGATGGTGTGAGTATACCAGGCTGGGTAATATCTGGATGGTGTGTGAGGTGACCAGGCGGGGTAATATGTGGGTGGTGTGTAAGGTGACCAGGCTGGGTAATATGTGGGTGGTGTGTAAGGTGACCAGGCTGGGTAATGTATCTGAGTGCTGGGTATTTTTTGACCATACAGAGAAATATCTGGAGGATATCGTTTTGGTAATCACCATAGATGAATTTGTGTTCACTGATGAGCAGGGAAAGTACTAGGCTCCAATTATTTAAATCAATGTGATAATAAAACACATTTCTGGATGAATTAATATAAGTGAAGCATCCTATAAAGTATAAGCGAACATGATCATACTTACTTGCGTTTGTATTTTTCCATGTCAGCATCCACAATATCAGCAATTGGAAGATTAAATATGCTAAATGAGGCATGCACAAGTACCCTAGAAAAACAGAAAGATTATTAAAAGATTAAAAATACTTAAGTCCTTGTACCGGATGAAATAGGAGCTATAATTTTTGTATATAATCCTCTTAGTTGTAAATGGTATTTAAAGAAGCACTCAGAGATTTTTTATATACCAGCTGCTAATCATAATGTTTAACCCCGTCCTGACAAGGGTTATACAAATCCCTTTATATGATGACAGTCACTGCAAGTCATCTGTCATGAAAGAATTAAAAGGAAACACATATGCTAGAACCCAGAGGTTCAGTGTTTTAAAACTTTGGGATCGTCCATCTCACCCTCTAGTGGCAGATAGGCTTAACTACAGCTCATTTCACAAGGTTATGCACTAACAGGGTTATTCCCCATAGAGCCATAGGGGATTGTGCTCATCAAGCAACATTACCACCTTGACTACTGTCATTCATAAAATGAGGAAGGCAGTGGAAATGGATAAATGGACAGCACAACTGCATGAGTCACCTAAATCATTTCAGAGAGTTTGGAACTTTCCGCACAAAGAAAACATATCTTAATGCAACTAGTTGCTGATTTTATCAAAGAAAACAGAGGAGACGTAAGCTCTACCCCTTTACTGTGTTGTCATGTTAAGTCGGTGCCAACATGAGAGAAGGCTGTCGAAAACATTGAATTAAAATGATATGCGATGTCTCCAGACTGAAATCCTCTGTGGCCCCTCCACTAGTAGGAGCAGATTTCTATCTTGCCTGCTATTTAGTGGCTCAATAAAGAACAGAAAATAAATAAAACAAGAAATTGGGGAGCTGATACAGAGAAAACCTCCTAAACAGGGAAATGAAAAAATAGGAGGATTTCGAAGTATCCAAAAGCAGTGGGAAATTGGTATTACAAATAGTAATAATAATATATATGTGGAAATATACCTAATTCAGTCAGGATTAAACTGAACAAATAGATAAAACGTAGCCTTTAATGAAATCATAGCGAAAAAGTGGGAAAACCAAAAGGAAAATAAAGATCCCGCCAAAAAATGAAACATCAAGCCAAGTGGAAGACGCCAGCGTCCATAGGAAAGCATTGAGAATGTTTTCCTATGAGACTGGCTGAATGCGCGCTCGGCTCTTGCCGCGCATGCGCATTCAGTCGATGACGGCAGAAGGAGGAGATTCCCCAGCGCCGAGGGAGCCCCCTAGAGCCCGGCGGGAGGGGGCCCCCGATGGCGAGGGGGGCCAAGGACCCTATAGAACCAGGAAAACGAGTATGTTTTCCTAGCACTGTAGTGTTCCTTTACTATGAATCTCAGTGTGAAGTGTCTTTGGTTATTATAACGGTGATATGTTCTATCCTTAGTGTTAGCAGATTATGGAACAATATGAAAAGAACATGTGTGTAACGGATCGCCTGGCACCCCGACTGGGTACCTCCGTTAAAGGATGCTCCTAGCGCTTCCTGAGGACTCCAAGCACTCTGGCAGACACCACAATCACCGAACCGGAGAAACAAATAAATTCTCCCAAGCATTTGAATGCTGTAGACAGTTGAATAGGAACCATACGAATAGGTTTACTCTCCTAGCAGTCAAACTGGAACAGCATGGGGGGCGTGGCTGGACGCGGAGAAAGATGGCCGCTTGAGTCTTTAGCTCTGCACCACGAGCTAGGCGAAACTAAGAATAAGGGAGCACCCAGCGGGGTAACTCGAGCCGAAAGCGAGATGTCGCAACCCAAATCCCGGCGACAACAAGACAAGCTCGACAAAACCAACTTTTTCTCGCAAAAAAAAGGTGGCAGCCCTAGCTATACAATCCGCGGCCGCGGAGCAACAAGATGGCGCTGAACATTCAGGAGGCAGCAGCCCTGGTTCGGAAGCCGATTCACCACAAAATGGTGGGCTGCTTACCATAACAACACTGAAACAAGCCCTAGAAGAACAATCGCAACGATTAATTTCAATTTGGCAATCAAGCGTTGCAGAATTAAAACGCGACATACAAGATATCGGCTCCCGCACAACGCACGTGGAGACCAAAATGGAGGACTTAATTGACGCACATAATGCATCGACTGAACAAATCAAATCCCTCTCATCCCAATTGCAGCACTGCGAAACCAAGATTATGGACCTTGAGGACAGATCAAGGAGAAGCAACATTAGACTGAGGGGCATACCGGAGACTATTCTCCAAGCAGACCTTCCCAGCTACGTGCACGGCCTTTTCAAAGCTCTGGCCCCTGAGGTCCACACGGACATGTTGCTATTAGACCGCCTACACAGAATCCCGAAACCCCAACAAATAGCGGCTTCACTACCCAGGGATGTTTTGCTGAAAGCCCACTATTTCCACGTGAAGGATCTATTAATGCGGAGGAGCAGGACGGCGAAAGACTTACCGATGGAATATGCCGCGATCAAGATGTTTTCTGACCTTTCCGCGGCCACCCTGAGACAACGCAAGACCTTCCAGCGGGTAACGGAGACCCTCCGAGCCAACCACATTCTGTACCGCTGGGGTTTCCCGGTTCGCCTCATTGCCTCAAGAAACGGGACAACCACGACCATCCACACGGTGGAAGAAGGGCTGGACCTCCTAAGACAATGGAACTTACCCGTGGTAGGGGACTCTCAAGCTCCCAAGGGCCCGCGCCAAGTGGAGAAAGACTGGCATACTACCAACTAACAACTTACCGCAAGTATCCCCGCTCCGGCGGTATATGACTGTATTTCAATTACAACCCATTTAACAACCATCCTACCTAACAGCATCCGTGCGATGGATGCTATAAGCTGACAATACCATAATGACATGCACTGTAATTATTCATGTATAACTGTACTGTAATTGTTATGTATAAGTGTTTGGCAGAGCAGTATAGCATATGCCCTATATAACTTAAAAACTCAATGTGGGCTTGACAAGGTGCCGCAGAAGCATAATAGAAAATATGGCCGGTATAGGGTGCTGTACCGTCAGCGTTCAGGAGGTTCACATAGTTTAACACGTGGGCATCGCTATTAACCACACACATCAATCAAGGAAGGTACATATGACTCACGTACAACCCGTAAGCATAGCTAAGCTAGGACTGGCACATCGATTACTAAAGTGATGAGCCACGACATGTTGCAATTTTGTGGGAACGCTAGATTAGTGTCTGGCACCAAGTAGGGGCCTCCAACCCCCCCTCAGCAGGGAGCTGGAACATGAGACAATAGACTGATTGATTTTTATGTGAAAAGCTGTAAATTAGATTAACCCGCACAACGCCTATACAAAACGCTGGTAACCAGCCTTCTGCCAGTACACAATCTCCAAAAAGCATGGACTGAGCTTTAGGCAGCGCTCCAGGGTAAACCCACATGAGGATTGGACGGAGTGCGGAGTTATGTCTCTGTAGATCTGATATAGTATACACAATATTAAGCCGACAACCAGGGTTAGATGAAACTTAGTAGCCATCTGATCCTTCGGTGCGCAACCCATGTGTTCAAGATATATACTTATGTACAATCGCCACATTGCATGGTTGTGTTTGAAATAGGGGTTGTTGGAACAGAGTCGAAGCGAAGCTCAACCCGAGCACTAATAATGATATGGAAATTGTATGTGAATGGTGTCTTACAGTGGGAACTACATAAGGGCCGAACACAGACACTAAAGCCCTCCACACTCCCAAGCTAATGAGGCGGACACATTATCTACCCATTCTGCCATCTATTGACATCCGCTCCATAGGTGAACCTCCCAGACCAAGTCGCATGCATTAATGTGACTTTAAACCTTATGCACACACGGAAAGCACTGTAGTGAATCCCTGGTCTCTTACCGTACTAGTCAATTCTGCCCATGCGGCACCGGTCACAGCACTAATTTCCCCCCCCCCCTCTCTACAAGAAAATGTCACCCTGCGGGGACAATACATCTACTCCCGCTACATAGAAAAGAGTGCTCATTCTGGAACCCCTTGTGGTTTTGAAACAAGGGGCCCTGTCGATTGGTGTTATAAGTTGTCTGAGCAGCACTTTAACATTTAGCCAGCTCAGGCCACGATTGTCCACCACTCCGATCCCATGCCCCCCACGGCGCAGCACAGGCGCGCCTTGCACCGAGATCGGTTTCATCTGTATATACTTTTGTTCGATGTTTGTTACCCTACCCACCACCACCCCCCTACTTACCCAGTTATATTCCCAGGCACAAAGTTGAGCACCCAAAAACTTGCCACAAGCATGGCATACCTAGGTACTTCATCTCATCCTCTCCTTAACCTATGTATAATGGGATACTTGCACCCAAATAAGGCACTCACTTGCTTACCTAACAAGCTCACTCGCAACTCCCTCTGAAGATCTATTCCCACAATGTGAGGGGACTAAATATGCCCCATAAAAGGCACATGTTACTCCAAGAGGCCCGCAAGCTGAAGGCAGACATACTCTGTCTCCAAGAGACCCACTTCGCCAAGGCTAATACGCCCCACTTTGGCATGAAACACTTCCCCCACCAGTTCCATTCATCCCACTTATCCAAATCCAGAGGAGTGTCCATATACATCCACAACTCCGTTGCCTTTGAACTGCTACAGAGATTCTCAGATGACAAGGGAAGGTATCTGATAGTTATCTGCTTATTGAACGATGCAGTCTACACAATAGTAAACGTGTATGCACCAAATGAAAACCAACGTAATTTTCTGTTTAGTATCCTCACGAAAGTGGCGAAGGTACAAAGAGGAACCACAGTGATATGTGGAGACATAAACCACGTCTTAGACCCCCTTCTTGATACTTCTACGCCTCCACAAGCCTCTAGACACAAATCCCTCAAACCGCATTGCAAAAACCTGACACAGTTATTGCTCAAGTTCAATTTATATGATAGTTGGCGAACCTTCCATCCTTCAGAGAGAGGATACTCTTACTACTCTAAACCACACAAGTCATTCTCCAGAATAGATGTGTTACTCGTACCAGGCCCTTCACTTAACCTAATCCAATCATGTGTTATGGGGGATATCCTGTGGTCTGACCACGCACCTGTGATAGCAACTTTAAAAGATGATTTTAGATACCGAGGTTGTAACCCCTGGAGATTAAATGAATCGCTTTTACAGGATGAACAGTTTAAGTTAGAGATAGAAACCGAACTCACACACTATTTCTCCACTAACGACATACCAGAAACGAGTCCCACGACAGTATGGAGGGCCTATAAGGCTGTAGTAAGGGGCCTGTTCATAAGGCGTGCCTCGCACCTCAAAAAGATCTCCCAGGCTAACTCCCTACACCTCCTTAGGAAATTGAGAGATGCTTCCGCAGCTCACATGGTTAATCCAAACCCACAAGATGCGGAACTTATAACACGGCTCCAATCGGAACTGTATGACATTAACATAGCCAAAACGACACGTACCCTACATAGGCTGAAAACGAGAGAATACTGCATGGGCAACAAAGCGGGCTCGCTTTTAGCAAGTAGACTCCGAGACGCTCAGGCCCACACCAAAATATCCCACCTCTTTTCTCGAAATGGGGAAAAAATCATCAAACCCCAAGACATCAGTAACCATTTTGCAGAGTTTTATGGGAAACTCTATAACCTCAAAAATGACCCTACTGTGCATCAACCCACAGAAGGGGAAATAGCTAGTTTTTTGGACAAAATTAATCTGCCCAAATTGACAGACGAGCAACGATCCTCTTTATCTAAACCCATCTCCCAATTGGAACTGGAAACAGTAATACAAAACTTGCCACATAACAAAGCCCCAGGTCCAGATGGCCTACCAAATTTGTATTATAAGAAATTCTCCTCCACTCTGGTCCCCAGGTTAGTGTCGCTCTTCACATCCACCACTACACTAGAATCCATCCCAGCAGACATGCTCGCGGCTAATGTGGCCACATTACCCAAACCAGGAAAACCACCAACCCAATGTGCTAACTTTCGACCAATTTCGCTACTCAACTCTGATGTTAAAATCCTTGCTAAAGTATACGCTAACCGCATGTCAAACATAATCCCACACATCATCCACTCTGACCAAGTCGGCTTCGTACATGGAAGGCAGGGGACAGATGGAACACGCAAAGCCCTTGCACTACTACACACTATGCACAGACAATCTCCTCAAAGTCTCTTATTATCCCTTGATGCAGAAAAAGCCTTCGACCGCCTGCATTGGTCATTCTTGCGGGCGGTCCTGGCCAAATTTGATTTCCCCATGCACTTTATCTCAATAGTCAAATCCCTGTATAGCAACCCCGAAGCTAGTTTTCACCTCGAGATTTCAATCCGCACCCTTCACTATTACTAATGGCTCTAGGCAAGGGTGCCCCCTATCGCCCCTCCTATATATCATGGCCCTAGAACCCTTGGCCGAGGCTATCCGCATGGAGAAGGAGATCAAAGGGATTAGGGTGGGAGATAGCGAGCACAAACTGAACCTTTTCGCGGATGATGTTCTGCTCACAATCACTGAACCACACACATCCCTGCCAAAATTCCACGCCATATTACAGGAATATAGCAAATGTTCATATTATAAATTAAACCTTTCCAAAACACAAGCCATGGGAGTGGGTATGGACAGTGCGTACTTGTCGGCATTAAAGAAACAATTCTCCTATGACTGGAGGGATGACCATCTGACTTTCCTAGGGGTAAAGCTCCCACATAACTTGTCCAACCTATATAACATAAACTACGTTAAACTCAGCAAGGAGATCACTGCTTTGCTTCACAACTGGGGAAATAAATTTATCTCATGGTCAGGGCGCATAGCAGCGGTCAAAATGGTAATTTTGCCCAAACTACAATATCTGTTTAGAACACTCACTCTACAAATACCAAGGGCTTATTTCATGGCACTTCAGAAACAGATTAATTTTTTCATTTGGCAGGGGAAACGACCCAGAATAGCCATAACCACACTATACCAACCTAGGAACAGGGGAGGAATGAGTCTACCCAATATACAATTGTATCACAGAGCAGCAGTGCTGGCTAGCCTCTTCCCCGCCGCCCAGGAGCGGGACAGGCCACAATGGGTGCAGCTAGAACAACATTGGCTACAAAACCAAGAAATAGACGCATTAATATGGCTATCCCCGAAGAACAGAGGAAACACAACACAGGTACTCCCAACCACCCTAGCAATGCTGAAAATATGGGACGCATCGCGTAAATTTCTATGTAGCAATTATCCGATTGCCCTCTCTACCCCTATCAAAGCTCTAGCTTGGGAAATACCAGATTTTAACTACAGGGTCTGGAACAGATGTGGTGTACTTCACCTACATTCTCTCTTCAACAAGGGGAAATTAGATACATTTGATCACATGAAAGAGACCTACACGTTACCCAACACGGCGTACCACTCATATATGCAATTAACATCTTGGTGGAAATCCAAAATACAAACTTTCAAGCCCCAAACCACCCCTGAGTTAACAGAGTTTGAGAAACTTTTCATGGCGGGTAAACAGATTAAAAAACCCATATCCACCACATATGCCCTGCTGTTATCTAGACGTGAGGTTAAAACTCTCCCCTTCGTACTTTCCTGGGAAAAAGACCTAAACCAGTCAATACCGGAGAAAATTTGGATGGCCACGATAAATATAACGAAAGGCCTAACACAGTGTGCATCTCACCTAGAAACAACCCGCAAGATCCTTTACCGCTGGTACATGGTCCCTACGAGATTGGCCACAATAGACCCAACACTACCCAACACCTGCTGGCGATGCAAAACCGAAATAGGATCATTTCTCCATGTTTGGTGGAAATGCTCCAAACTTCAACCATATTGGAAAGCAGTCATCTCATTGATACACCGTCACACATCAGTGAACATACCAAACACCCCTACCTCTCTACTTCTCTTTATGCTAGGCACCACCTACCCTAAACCTGTACGATACTTAATATTTCACATACTAGTAGCAGCTCAACAACTAGTAGCAAAAAACTGGCTATCGCCCAATAATGCAGCAACACAAGATATTATTAAACATGTATCTCAAGTAGGAAAGTACGAATCCAATATCTCAAGAATGTCACCAGGAAACAGCTGGAAAAGGGAAGTATGGGAAAACTGGGAGTTAAAACACCCAACATAATTAGGCCTATAACTTAACCTACGGGTACACAACCCATAGGATGTACAGCTCCGGTAGCCCCACCACCTCACTACATTAGAGGGCACACGACACCCAATGCACATGTGCTAGTAACCAACAACTCATAAAACCCTTAAGTATTGAAGTCAAGAGTGGATTGATATATCCACGAAAACTGATGGGAAGAAAGGTGTCAGACCTCACTACTCCCCACACCACCCCCCCCTTTTTTCACCCTTATGAGGCGCTACGCGAAGGAAAGGCCCTCGGGCTCAGTAGGATTGCTTTACATTATGTACACCAAGGGACACCAGGCCACAACTCCCACCTAGGGGAACTCTAACAGGGACAACTTACCCAAACTATAGCAATAAGACAAGCAGGGGCAGGACCCCATAGGTCACACGTAGAGGAAATGGGAGTACTGTATTTATACACTGTAATTATGTACTTATGCATTGCAATTACGTATTGTATCCTTGTACTGATGTATCTATGTACTGCATACCATATCATGCCAGTATTTTGTGCTTATCCTTTCCCTTCTAACCCCCCCTTCTTTTTTCTGTACCCCAAGTTCTGACAAAATAAAAATTGTCAAATTGAAAAAAAAAAAAAAAACTGGAACAGCATACAATAAATCCTTCCCCCAATAATGAGACGACACTTCACTTTGAGGGTTAAAACAGGAACTCCCTGTACTGTCACATACAGTCTCTTTTATTTCCAATCCACAAACATAGTACAGCCCACAGGGCGTTACAAAACAACCAATCAATCCGTACAATACACCCAGACACTCCCACACAAAATCCTCCCCTCTGCCTGTGATATGATTACTGAACACAATGGGTAATCTCATTATCACCGGCAGAGGAATACAGTTTTTACACAATATTTATAACTTCTAAAATATACATGTCACAAACATAAAACATACATTTTCATAATCAATCCATTCAGGGGAACAACATATTAAAAAATGGCACGAATCAGACCAGGGGTTCAAAAGTTAAGGGAAAGTCCTTTGTGACTAAATGAAGCATGGCTTTCCGGCCCAAACCAGTTTCAGAGTCTTCTATCCTGGAGATTGAATTGAGAAGTAATTCAATTATCTCCCAGGACAGACACAAGACTCCATTATGCACATGGTGAGCACAAAGCATTAAAATATTATAAAATACACAAAGTCACATTTTATACATAAAACACAGACATGTCACATATCCTCAGATAGCTGGGATCTGAGCGCACAAAACTACCGAATAGCGCTCAGATCCTATTCACACAGTTCAATTGCCATGGAGCCGAAGTCTTTAACTACACGAATGGGCTCCATGGCATAGCTATCTGGGTTAATACATTCACATAAAGTCTGGTCCATAGTCCAAAGGCAAGAGGCGGGCAGCAGCCCCCTCCAAGGACACGTGGCGAGGCCGGTTTCGCCACAATGTGTAATAGGCATAGTCACAGAATTCACAGAGGGTGAACATAATTGTTCCATAATAAGTCAGAAGCACTTTATATCTCTTGCTAGGTACAGATATGGAATATGGAAATTAAAATTAGGAGTACACGAACATTGGATTCTTTGGAATGTGGCTATTAGATCAGTGGGAAACAAAACAATAATTAGAAATAAAGGAAAAAGTGAGATTCTTTCAAAAGAAATGAGAAGTAGCATTTTACTTACATGTTAGTGGTGAGAAATATAGCCAGGACATAATAACGTTGAGGTCCCATTATAAGCATAAAGACTGATGCAAACACCTCTATGTAGAATGCATACATTATCACTTTATAGTAGCCAATCTTCGTCAACATCGAATGACTTATTAGCACAAGTAACTGCAAAAAAAGAATTTATGAAGACATTAATTTCATTTTATTTATTATCTTTTATACCAGCACAAACAATAGTGCGGCAAAGCGTCAAAAGGTAGAACAAAATGCAGAGGAATACCTATACTATACTTTTTCTTTCAAGGGTAAATAAGCCTGAAACAAGTAACAGTCACTGATTTTAATGCTGCAAAGAGCTCTGTATTTTAGACGAGGGTTGCAATGTGAGATAGGAGCCCATATAGAATCAAAGTTATATTCGGAATTGCTGCTTAGAGAATTCAGACAATCAAAATACAGCTGTAATTCAAATGGGGGTGTTCACAGATGAAGACACACTAATGGCAGGCCAGAGTCTGCCACAAAATGTGACAATGCAAGCAAATATAGGCAAGTTTCGTGACTTTAAATATACTATTGGAATGTTTCAAAACGTTCTTTTATTATATAGACACAAAAGCAGCTCTGTTAGTTCGGAGGTCTTGCATGTCATCTTAGTTGATTTGCCCTCGTGCAGTACCCACACTCACCACGATCACTGTTTGACACTGTTCCTAATTTCTTTTCATTAGCACTTCACTTGGTCCTTGTTTAGCACCTATATAGTCTGGTTTCTCCCCTCACTCCTTGTCAGATCATTGTCTCTTGTTTCTTGGTTCCTGAGATTCTGACTCTTCGCTCCTTGATCCTGTGTCCTGCATTTCCTGATCCTCTGTTCGCGTGTCCTCCTGGTCCGATGTTCCTGTGTCCTCCTGTTCCTGTGGTGCCATGTCCTCCGGTTCCTGTGCCTCCCAATCCTGTGTTCTGATTCAGTGTTCCTGCCATTTCCTTATTACCAGTGATCCTGATCCTGCAGCCTTGTTCGTTTGTCCTGCTTCGGGCTTTGCTTCCTGGTGTCATATTTCTTTTGTGACTCTGGATCTGTGTCCCACCTGTTTCTGTGGTGGCTGCACAATCCTGCCCAAATACATTTTTATACCAAAGGACTAAGTGTACTCTGCCTGCCCAATTTGTGGCAATCCTGATTTATTGTATATATTCTGTGGCATTGTATATATTTATTACATGTTGTTTTGTTATCTTTTGTCCTTTGGTTCCCTTTAATATATATTTCTTGATTTACTCTATTCATTGTGTCTTTGATAAATTGGTTCCCACATTTAAAGGGATAGTGCTGTCTCAAGGCAGCACCCCCTTCATGTCATGATATTGTAAAGGTGACATACCCACTGGATGTTTGGTAACTAGGATAGAAACGAACAGGAGACGTATTTACCTGTAGCTCTCCCTTGCAAGCACTGCCATCTTTATTATGGGAACCTTCTTCTGGTGCTTCATCTGCTAGGAGCCATCACTATTGTACTCTTGCGCATGCACAAGACTACAAAACAGAGGCCTATGGAAGATTGCACAGACTTGAGAGAGCTAATCCAAAGAACTACTTAATGCAATTGACAAGAATTTGCATCTTTCCTCAGCTGCTGCTAGTGACGACTGCTGGACATGCTTTTTGTCATATTTTGCCATGGTCGTCAAGGGCCATAAGACATAATAGTCCCTACTTTATCTTATGATATTTATAAATTGCGGTACAATTTTAATCAAATTTCAACACAATCAAAATGATTATTTCCTAAAAAAAAGTTATCTTCATACCACTTAAAAAACAAAACAAAAACACTGCTGTCTCTTTAAATGTATACCAGTAGCCCTTAAAAATAGTATGTACTTGTTTATGTTTTCAGTTGCAAAACAAATTAAGGAAGAAAAAAATAAATCAAAGTAATGATCGATTTAAAATAAAGACCAGCTGTACAACCAGTCTCCTGCCTTGCTTGCTAAAATATAGTGATTATCGAAGCAATTATATTGTGTACAAGTACTGTAGGAGAAATAGGTTCCCAGTTACAGATAGAATGTGGTATATTTACTAAACAGTCTATTGAATACCACTGAAAATATGGCAAGATAGTACAGCTGAAAACAGGCTGATTTGGGAGATATCCTCTAGATCAGCTATTCTGATCTAAATTGTGCAACTCCGTTTTCGATTCCACATTAAGCAAACAAACCTTTTATTTAATTAATTATTCATGTGTCTTACCGCTGTTAAGCACTTTCCTTTGACTAACTCGGTTTCTGCAAGATTGACCATATAACCCCCTTTGGGATATTGCCCGTGACAGGCCACAATAAAATGCTGCTTGCTTGCACAATGCATTTTTTTGCAGGACCCCACTTAGAGAGAGAAATCTCCCTACCTATTTTTTGCCATTGCCAAATACTATGTTAAATCGTAGCCGCTTCTAACATACATCAAGATGTGTCAAACTGTGTTCCATGTAATGTGATCATTTCCCATGTGGAAACAGTTAAAAGAGGAATCTTTATGAAAAATGGAGGGTTTTAAAAAGCATTAACTGTGACATTGAAAAATGTTTATTGAACAGTGTATTATAGTAAAATAAAAACACCATAAGTGGAAATAAATGGTGAGAAATAGATATTCTGGACATTTTCCCACTTATTTTGGCCATGTATTCTCATGAATATCAGAAAATAGAGCATCACTGTTCATCAAGAATTATGCAAAAAAGATATACAGCATGGCAGATTACATGGTTACCAACTTCTCTGGACATCTGCTTAAACTAACCTGTCACAGCTCAACCTGGCACAGCATATCAATAAAGAGAGAATTCGGTCTGAGAGCTCTAAATTCGGTGTAGTTTTAAAAAGAAAAAGAATGAAAAAAAATAAAGGTATGAAAAGCAATGAAGAGGTTGGAAAAGAAAAGTGATGCTAGCCACTGTTCGCATTCAAAAGCAAAGTATGCCAAGCTGGTGTCAACAAGACAAACTACAGACAGAAAGCAGAGCTTTAACAGATGAGCTACAAGGAATTGTTGACATGTTAACTCAACTTGAAATAATGTTTGCGAGGGAGCAAAGGAACCTGCCAAGCACCATAACAACTGCAGTGCGCTGTAATGGCTATGGTACCAGCAGTGCCCTGTTGCCCCCTCCATGCTACCCCCTCCAATGCCCCAATGTAAGCAGTCAAAATGTTCTTCTAGAACTGGAAGCTCTCTGCCTGAGCTAAGCCCCGCAGTGCAGGACTTCGCTCATTGGCTGAGTGCACTGAGTTGAAGACTAAAGCTCTAAAGCCATTGTGTTTGTGTCAGACTTTGAAGTGTCTTGGGCACACCACTTTGCTGTGGCTCACTGGTTGAAAGCCACTGCCCTAGAGTGATGTAGCACTTTATCTGCATCTGGTAGTCCAACAGACAAATAAAATTGGCAAATCCGATCCATGACTTACAGTGCCAACTTCAAAGTTCTTCAGAGGAGTAATTATGACTAGGGCTCCTTAGTTCTAACAGGAAGACATCTTAACAGTACAGCATACAAATATACCTTCCACATTAAAAGCTACACTACTCCAGTGTTCCTTCTGCTATTCTAAAGAGGAGTTAATCCTGTTGGATTGCATTCTATAAATGGTATATATTAAATGAAACTGAGGGTACCTGAGGAAACATGAAGCCAGCTCCATACATGATGCTTCTTACGAAGGAAGGGAGCGTATCCTTTGGAATGAGGTTATCAGCGAAAATCATCATGAAGTTACTGCAGAACGTAGCATGCAAGACTTGAAAGAAGTTCATAGACACAAATATGATAAAGTTCTTTTGAGTTAAGATTTGTTTGGTGAGTGTGAAGACAGAGGACCAAGAGAGAGAACCATCTGATTTATACCTCTCCAAAGAGCTCTCCTTTTGCTCGTACTGGCTGATGCCAAAAATACCTGTGTAACACATGCATGCTGTTGACAATACAGCCACCAACACTGTAAATGTTTGAAAGTTCGAGAACTTTTCCATGTTATCAGATACCAGTCCACAAAAGAGGATACTTGAGGAGCCCAGCAGTGATGCCACCTGGTTATATTTAATGAGCTGAAGACGACTTTCGTGCCTGGTTGAAATCTCTGCAAACAGTGCACACTGGGCTAGCAGAACAAAAGTCAACATGCCATCAAACACGCACAGTGCAATCATAAGATGCATGCCACTTAGCCAATCACCTTCTTTGTAGTTTGTCCAAGGAAACCAGGGAAGCAGGAAGGCAAGAGCATAGAATGGAGCACCATACAAAATAGATTGTCGACGTTTAGAACACCATGGCACTTTGGAGTTGTCTTGGATGTATCCAAACAAGGGGTCATTTACGGCATTCCAGATCATAAACACGACCTAAAAAAAAGTATTGAAAAGTCAATTAATAAATCAACTGGAGAACACTACTTTTAGAGATAAATTACAATATGCCCTAAAAGTTAACCGATCACTAGCTTTTTAACATTCAAGCTAAGTTGGAGATTTTGTTTCCCCTCTACTGTGACCTGCATTTTGAAATTCAGTTTTCAGCTCACCAAATCCCCATGTGAATTAGCAGAATAGTTTAATTGCATTGGCATTTTCCCCCATTGTGCTTTAATAGACAAGAGTAAGAACAGAAGACACCTGCTGTATATAATTGATCCTTTAAAATTAAACTTGTCATCTCAGGTAAAACTTTAACCAATATTAAAGTTATCATAAAGATAAATTATAAATGTATTGGCTTTGGGAGATGCTATAGTTATACCTACCTTTTGCCCCTCAGTTAAGTGCCACCATTTTCAGAGGTCCACAGGTGTTCTGTTGCGAAACTTACTCTTACCCTCCTGCGATTGGCACTGCTACAACATCTCCCCAAGTAGGGAGATCCTCCCTAATGACACCATCATTGTGGCTTTATGTCCTATACTCTTTTTGCAAGCAGGAGAAACACTTCCTGGAGGACCAGGAGAACACTGTAAGAGGGTTCTCCCGCTCTCAATGTCAGTAAATCCTCCTTAGACCTCTCTGCAGATGGCATCAAGAGAGCATTAAGAAAATCTATGTATTTGCTAGAATTTAGGTAGCACAATATATGCATGAAATATAATGCTCTTTAATTTAAGAATACATCATATGCACCATGGCAGATGCCCTTTAACATTTTGCAGATTCGCTACTCTTATGGCCTCAGTGTTAATTTGTATGATTCTTTTATAAATATCTTACAGTACCTGTGCTTGGTTAAAAGCCCCTTCGGTTATCTTGTATTGGTTGAGAAACAGCTTGACGTAATAGAAATTAAATATATGGTTCATCATTCCAGCACCTAATGTGGTCATAGAATAGGCCAGGGCTGGCCGGTGGATTCCTAAGTTCACCATCATGTTCAGTATTTATCTGAAAATAAACAAACACATTGAGACATTATGAAAGCCACACAATTACCTTTTCAGAAAGTCAGACCACAAAACAAACCGTATGACAGTATTCAAATTTTACAAGTACCAGCTAATTTACATCTTTAACCCATTTATCGTCAGAGGTTGAGTAACAACATGCAATGCTTTATTTTGTTTTCTAGTACTCAAAACGAGGATACATATAACGTGATGTGATACATGGTGCTCAATGTTAAATAAGAAAATACACAATCATATTACAAACGTAGCAAACTACATTTTTTTATAATTTCTGACATACCACAGGGTAATCAAAATTCTAAGTAGTTAAAACTTGGGCTACGTCAGTCAGTTACTTTATTATTTTTCAATCAGTTGCCAAATTTCTACAAGTGGGGAGACTATTAATTGAATAAAAAGAACTTTGTAAAATCACAAGTGAGCTGCAATGTGATTTAAACATTTTGGACAAAATTGTAGAACTGTAAAAACAAGAATTAATGGATTTCCATTCAGCTATTTTAGATCATATTTAGCTTTTCTAACCAGTGGCAGGGAAGAGCACCCTGCAAAATGTTAGTATTGGTGGTGTGGGGAGGGGGAGCACCAGGACATTCCTGGTACAATAACTTCTAAAGAGTGATGTGGTGATTGTGGTGGTCCATTAATCTGAGAAAAACAACATCTAGCCCCATGAAAGTAGTTGGAATTGAGTTAGCTAAATGTACCTTTAGTAATTAAACGTGTCATTATTATCGATCCAGCATGGCATTGTAGAATTAGATGCAGCCAAAATTTTACAGCCCATACGGATGTAGGACGGGTAATAGGTGTGCGCTGAGGTAAACTGTTTAACCAGTTTGTGAAGTCTCATTACACATTGCAACATCCTCTTCCACAGTAAAAAAAAAAAAAAAAAAAACAAACGAGGAAAATCTACAAAAATAAATTGGGCAAAATTTACATATTTATGTATCTCAGAACTTGGACCTCAAAGATTCTATGATCCATTGCTTGTTTTACCCACTCCCATCCTGTTTGCAGACTACACGTGCTGTCCAATTTTGGATGGTACAGAAGTGACAATTCCACATTGGCACGAGAAGATGGTATGGGTTTGGGTGCCAGAGCAAATTATGGTTTTGTTTTGCCCCCCTCCCCCCTAAAAATTGTTTTTTTTTTTTTGTTTTTTTTTTACAAAAAAGCAGAATGTCTGCACCCAAAGACTCTTAGTACCATAACACTGCAATACGCTGTAGTGGTTATGGTTCCTAGAGTCTCCCATTAAATTTAATTCACTTAGAAGAAATATACCTGAATAAAAATCCATGTAGTGTGTGTAAGACTTAGAACATGACTAGTTTTACTCTCATAGCTTCAGAAAATACACACTTTCATGATCATTCACGGATAGGATTATTCATTAAAATGAGAATTCAAAGTGAATTTCAAATTTAAAGCCAGAGTAGCCAAACTGAAAATATAGCTAACTTACATTTTTTTTTCCATTTTGGTTATACTGAACCTTAAATGTGAAATTCAATTTTAATCATCATGTTAGTAGATAACCCTGTAAATTCAGAAGTTCAGTGAATTAAATCAGAATGGCAAATTTCAGGCTAAGATAGTCAAACTATGACTAGAGCTTAGTTTGCAAGTCTGATACTGATTCCTATTGAATCAGTATGTGATTGTTTCAGATATGAACTAAACTCTGTATTTTAGGGAATTACATTTCAAGATACATGTACCGTAGGGTAATCAGATTTATAAACAGTTGATATTCAAGTCATACAAGTTGGGCTACATCAGTCAGTTACTTCTTTATTATTTTGCAATTAATTGCCCAATTGGCACGGACTACAAAACCTTTGTAAAATTACAAGTGAACTGCAATGTGATTTAAAGATTTTAGACAAAATTGTAGAAATTTACGGCTCACACTTTTGGCTGCAAGGTGGCAGGGAAGGACCATAAACCTGTTTATGGCAGACAGGGAACATAAACTGGTTTATTAGTGAATAAACCAGTTTATGTTCCCTGTCTGCCTTCAACAGGTTTATTCACTAAATACAGTTTAGTGAATAAACCTATGTAAGGCAGAAAGGGAACATTCATTAGTATAGGCGTAAGTAAATTTTGGCACTCCATACATTGTGGACTACATCAGCTATAATGCCAGCAAAACATCAGTGGGCATGTAGTCCACAACATCTGGAGTGCCGAAGGTTGTGCCTACCCCTGCCTTAGTACATCATCACCTATGCATTTCTTGTCATCTATTCAAAGCTGTATTTAAATTGTCTTTAATTTGAGCTATTAAAAAAAATCTATATAAAAATCAAGCATAAATAAGAAACATGCTAAAATGTCATCATGATGTAAACACAAGGCTCACTGCAGAAGTAAAATATATAATACATAAAAGGCATACATATACATGTATGCATAAACAAATGTATGTTGAAAATATTTGCTAAAGTAATAAGATGCAAAAAATTTGTATAAATCCATCACTGGTCCTTTCAAAACCAGGTCAAATTGTCTGACAGCAATATAAGCCAGTGATTAAAGAGCTTACAGCACAACAACAACAACAACAACAACAAAAAACACAAAAACAAACCACAAAATACAGGATAAGTCTATGTGTGACACTGCTTATACAGTAATTACTCCTGCATAGTGTGCAATAATAAACTAACATGCATTTACTCTGTGCATATTCAATACCAGAAGATGCCAGCCAGGGACCATGGGCAGTGGGATGCTGGGCTGATGTTTTCTGTATGGCACCTGCAAAATCCCACCAGCCTGTTGCCCCTCGCAACCCGGATGCTGCCAAAGCATCACCATAACACGGAACTCTGATGCTTCCCAGTGAGGGCAAGGCTTCTTCCATTATATCCAATAGCGGTGAAGCCAAAACTGAATCTCTCGTCGCGGATTTGCTGCCTGAGAGTGTCCGTCACCGCAAACTCGCCACGCTATTGGTCAAAATCTGGAGAGCGTCCCTCCCTTACGCCGGAGCCTGCACGTCACGGATTGGGATTGCCACGTTGCGGCGAGAGTTTGGAATGCTTCGGCAGTTTTCGGAAATCTTCGGGGGGGATGGAGGTGGGAGGGGCTGAGCGCTGGCGATTAGAGAGCCGCTTGAGCTGTCAGCGGGAGTAGCCGCCGCCTGCAGCACACGGGAGGCTGAGGAGAGCTCGGGGACCGCACCGCAGGACCAGGCTGCCAGCATGCTGACCGACAGCAACGTGGAGGAGTTCGACATCAAGGAGGATGAGCCCTGGTACGACCACCAGGACCTGCAGCAAGGTGGGCAATTAAAGGGACAGGCAGCATCATACTCCTTCATTACCCAGTGACCGGGGGGCTAATGGTAGGGGGTCCTTTATTACCAGCCCATTCAGCTATATTATTATTATATAAAATTATATATCTCCTGTGTTATTGAAATCTGTATAACTGGGATATGGAAACACAGGCACTCTATTTAATGAGTCATATCCCTTTAAACCATTTAAATTACATTTTTGGCCAATCAGCATGATGGCAATTTGGCATTATATTACTTTATAAAATTTAATATATATATATATATATATATTTAATTTTACTAGAGGGTTTGTCTGTGTGTGTAAATAGATTAAGCTATATATTGATGATGATGATGGGGTGTGTGTGTGTGTGTTTTTTTTTTAAAAAACTGGATTATTTTTATTTTTTTTTAGTATTTATAATTGGCAGTGGTGTTTTTTTCTTCTTCTTTACATTGTAAATATGTGTAGGCGCCCATGTTGTGGATACATGATTTCTGTTTAAATGGCTATCATCCTAAAGCAGGGATGACTCTCCCTCTTACCCCAGATGTTGATAGCCTACAATTCTCTCAATTCTTAGAATGCAATACATGGCCATAGAATCTTAAGAGTTATAGGAAAAAACATGCATGTCCTAAGATATTTCTATATTTTTTTTTACCGTTTGAATCTTAAGAGAGTAGGAGGTTATGATGAAATCCTAGCCTTTACCCCTTACTGAGATAAGTTGAATTACTGTCTGTCACATCAGGAAACCATACTCTCACACAAACAGGCTACTGAGTTTGTGTTGAGCTCACTTGAGATTTTAGTAACCCTTTTGGTAGCCAGGGTTGCACAGATCAAATAGCCCACCAGTGGATCTTTTAATATTCTGTATGGGTTTCTCTTCTAGGAATATCAAAAACCTCATTAAATTATTTCACTTACAGTTTGAGTCATTTTTACAATGTGGACTTCTTCAGAAGCTCTTGTAGCACATCTGTCAATCACTTTTTTTTTTTTTTTAATTTAATTTTTTTGTTCTCTTTAGGTTTTGCTTCTTAACGTGCACTTTGATGTGCTATTTAAATGGCAGTTGATTAAGGGTAGATGAGCCATCAACCTGTCTTACAACTCCCATTACCATCATGCATCCTGCACTGTCCTTGATTTAAAAAAAAAAAAAAAAAAAAGATAGAAGGGAGGCTCCCATAGTGTACCTTTTGTGAGCACTACTTAAAATTGTGCTGTTATAGGACTATTACTTGTTAAAATCCGCACTACCAACTGCTTTTATTCTATCGTTGAAATACTAAACACAAAGATTCCTTTGAAGAAGAAAACAAACCCAGCGGTAACTGTTAAGCAATCCTGACTCTGAAGTTCTTTGTGCATTCGTTTCACAGTAACGGATGTGGTGCGTTTATGCAAGTTCTTCTGTTCCAGATGTCTTGCATTGTCTCAGAAAGTCTCATTCAGTAGTAAATACACAAAGGAAAAAAATGACGATCTTATAGATTGTAAGCTTACCTTTTTAAGTCATGGTAAAACGTTAAGGGTTATTCATCAAATTGTAGGGCATTTTCAATTCCCTATAATATGATGTTACGTAAATTATCTAATTTAACTGTGTATGTATGTGTGTGTGTGTGTGTGTGTGTGTGTGTGTATGTATGTATGTGTATGTGTGTGTGTGTATATATATATATATATATATCTATCTCTATATCTCAAAATCAAGTTGCAATTAATAAAATAATTGAAAATATGTGAATGACATAAGGTGTTGGTGACTGAAGTCCAAGGATCAAAATATTTTTTTCAAATCATTTACTGCATAGCTAGCACTTAGTAGACATCGGATAATCCCACAATTTCATGTATGGTTTGCTGTACACAGATAACTAAAGAATTAAAAAAATGTATATATTTCATTCGTTCACCCTTTACAGAGAATTTGAGGCAAAAGAATGTTTTTGACACTATGGTATTTTCTTATCTTATTTCAAACCGTGCAATGATTGCATAAAAAAGATGTCGAAGGTTAAATACCCTGCTTATGGGAATTTGTAAGGGCCTTAATGTCAACAAAGGGATTATACTTCTTCAGAATTCTTAACATACCATCAGGAAACAATATTTCCATGTGGGTATTATGCCCACATACAGTAATTAACATCTGTACAATACAAAGCAAAGTCAAATACACTGCTACTGCTGACTGTATTCGATGCTTGACGTGCTCTCGTACTCTGACCTCTCCATCGCTCCATTCTCCCATGGCTGATATAATGCAGCCATACAATATGACCTACACACGTTGCTGTACAGTATGGTAGAATGTAAGGGAGGGGGCTGCCGTATGTAGTGTTTAAGCAGAGATTAGTTTAACTGCCAGGAAAACCAGAACAGAGCAATGGTTTATGTACTAAATACTTTATAATGGAAAAACAAAAGGGGACACATGTAAAGGTGTAATTTTGCTGGGGACATTAAAAGAGGTGCAATATTGTGAGTATAAGAAAGCATGTTTATGTAGGTAGGGCCACTACTAGATATCTTCTAGAAGTGGTTATGGTGCCTGCAATCCCCAAACGCTGGCTCACAGTTCAGTGTTAAACCATTTTCCAATCTAATATTTTTTGGGGGAGGGAGAGGTTATTTTTTTGTGGATTTTTAATTTTTTTTTTTTTTATTTTTTTTTTTACATCACCTAAAAAATCTATACCTTTTTGTTCAGCTGAAACATCATGTTTTTTTATTTTACCTCTTCATTTAAATTAATTTTGTGTGCAACACAAGTACATTTCACTCTTTGATGTCCTATGCGTACCAAGTAAAGTCATGCTTAGTACGAATGGCCAAATTTCTCTAAAAGTAGAAGGAAAGGGGAAAAAATAGATTTATTCAAAAACGAAGGCTTTACCTAGCTAAAAATGCAGTTTCTTCATAGCTTTCCCTGGCGTACTTCTGCTCTGCATGACTTTGACCTGGTCCTCTAATTAAATTTTAAAGGGAGTGTCCCTTTAATTCTGTCTAGCAGGTCGAGGTGGCATATCTCACACTTGCACGAGAAAGTGTTAATAAAATAGATCATACACTTCTAAACGCTCAACGTAAAAATCTAATCTTTTTCTTTACTGTGATTAAATCAATAAGGACACTTTGAGCATGTGAGAACAGACTTGGCAGACCCAGGAATATAGAGAGAATCCAGGTATTAAGTGTCTTTATCTGCATCTGCAATCTAATAAGGGCTCTTTGCACTAGATAGAATAAATTAGGCAATTTCCATTTTCGTCCGCTCTATCTTATGTTGGACTCTAAAACGGACTTGCTTCCACGCTGTTCACTTGGCAAGAACAAGAGCTGGGAAGGTTAATGTCTGGTTATTCGTAAATAAGTGTTTTGAACTACGCTACACTCTCCTCTAGTCCTCAGAACTAACTTCTACCTGGAGATGGGGAAGGGGGTTCCTTTAATATCATTAAGGGATCTTTCCAAAATAAACGAATTAAGCCACATTTGCACCAGTGAGCAGACACACAGGAAGGCTATCATGAAATACTAGCCTTCTGTTGTTTTTCATCTCAATGCCCTGGTGAATGCAGCAGAAGATGAGCCTCATACATTTACAATTATTTATATAGCACCAGCATATTATGCAGCACCGTACAATAGTTAAACAGGACAAACATTGGATTCTAACAACACGTGTATCATTGAGATCCCTCTCTCTCTACAATGTTCCCAGAATTGTCCCTCTGTCTTATCTATCCTGTACAGTGCACTCGCAGGGATGTAATAATGTGAATGTAATCCCTCCATCCCCCAGCCCTTCTTCCTTTTTGTTGTAAGATGTCCTTTTTTCATTGTTGCCTGTCTTTGAATGGGCTCTCTATGTCCTATCTAGGCAGCTGTTCTGGTAACAGATATTTAGTCATTGAGATTTCTTTAGTTCTCACTTCCCTGAGGAAAGCGTAGTAAGAGTGCTGGAATGAGCGATCTGTTTGGAATGTATACTACATTTTTCTGAAGACCCTTTAAAACATTTTAGGTCACTACACATGCAGTCTGCAGAATATGGCAAGTGTGTTTATTTTTAGTCATGCATTGTCAGCAGAATGTGCAAAAAAAAAGGCATGAAAACACTGAATTATTTTACAGTAGTATAAATCATTTTAAACAAAAAAAAAAAAACTATGGCCTAATCATTGCACCCTTAAGGGTATTTCCACCCCATCCCCCGCCCTTAAATTTAAATTATTAAAAATATATATTTGGGAATTATCTAACCCCTCTTTCAACAGAAAAAAAGATCAGTTTAAGCTTATACTTAAAAAAAACAAAAAACCAAGCACCTGTTTGAGACTGTAAGGTACAGTGTCCTCTAATGCCATGCTAAGACTGTCCTGGTATCCTGAAGGACATTATCACACTGTTTCCTATAATTGGAGAAAAGGTTTTTCACTAAATGGTGACTTATCAACAGAGACTTAGAAACTATGGAGCATAATAGCTTACATGAACAAATTCCCTGTTTTTGTTTCCATCTTGCGTTTTT